ATCGTCGCCGCGGGCGCGGCCGCGCCCCGCCGATCCCGAGGACATCATGGGCGGCGGCGGTCACGACGACGATGAGGGGACGCCGTTCGACCAGTCCGTCGAGGAGATGGACTTCCTTCGCTCCGCGTGCGCGATGGCGCAGACCGGAGACGCGACGCGCCTGCGATCGATGCTCACGCGGCGACCGTCGGTCGCGAACGAGGGCCTCGGCGGGTACACGCCGCTGCATTACGCGTCGCGCGAGGGCCACGTCGACTGCGTCGCGATGCTCCTCGAGCACGGATCGGACGTCGCCGCGGTGACGACCGCGGGGAGGGCGACGCCGCTGCACCGCGCGGCGTTCACGGGGCGTCTCGACGTGATCGCGATGCTGCTCGACGCGAACGCGGACGCGAGCGCGGTGGACGCGGACGGCGAGACGCCGCTTCACAAGGCGAGCGCGCGAGGGCACGCCGCGTGCGTGCGAGCGCTGATGGTGGCCGCGCCGGAGACGGGGAGGGTGGAGGATAGGAAGGGGCGGCGGGCGATCGACCGCGCGGCGGACGAGGAGACCCGCGCGGCGTTCGGGGAGTAGCGGTCGATCTCGGCGTCGGGGGGGATCGGGGTCGGAACTCGGAAGGTCCGACACCCACCGACGGAGCGGGGATGATCGCGAGTTCCCGAAGGTTAAGGCCGAATTCGAGTCCGCGAACCCGATCACGATCGCAGTTCATCGTGAGGATCGAGGCTACGCGGCGGCCGCCGCCGCCCGCCGCCGCCGCCGCCGCCGCCGTGAGCGTCGGACGGACCCCGGGACCCGGGGCGGGACGAGGGCGTCGCCGCGCGGCGTCGCCGGCGCGTCGCCGGCGAGCCGAGGGTGACCCCGACCTCCCCGATGCTGCGATCGACGCGATTCTGGGTCACGCGGAGGAGGACAACATGTGCCTCGACGCCGATGTGACTCCGGAGTCTATTAGACGCGTCACGCGCGCGGTGCTGTGGGGGGGCGCACTCGCCGTGGACGGTGAACGCGCCTTGACCGCCGCCGCGCGCGAGAGCGACGAACACGGCGAGGCCCTGGTGACGATAACCGAGGTTCGAGCGGTCGCGGCGTCGGTGGGACGTGGAACGGCGCGGAGGGCATCGGAAATGGTATGGTCGTTCGTGCGCGCGATGCACACGAGCGGCGAGCGCATCTTCGGACGGGAGCATCCCCACCTGGTGCCGCCGGCGCCGCCGCCGGCGCCACCGCGTCGCCGGCGTTTGCGATTGATTCGGCGTCGCGTAGGCGAGTGGGTCCGGGACTTCACTCATCAGATCGATCGATGCTACAGTACGACGCTACGAGAACTCCACGCACGGGTGCACGCTCTCTTCAGCGGTGGGGTCAAACGCGAGCAGCAACGACGCGCTCCATCGCGGTCCCTCGGTCGTCTCCGTCGCCGTCGTCGCGTCCCCGCCGCCGCCGCCGCCGACCCCGCCGTCGCCGTCGTCGTCGTCGTCGTCGTCCTCTCCCCCCAACGTCGTGACGTGGTGCCACCAGAACGGAGGGACGTACAACGTATCCCCCGGCGTCAACACCACCTCGTACACCTCCCCGAGAACGTTCTTCACGTTGGGGTACCGCGCCCGGTGCGCCTCCGCGACGTCGCCGACGCCTTCGAGCCAGAGAGGTAAATCCACCGGCGAAGAGTTGACGCATTCTACGGGTCGTTCCATACGAGCGAACGTCGGGGTGGAGTTGAAAGGCGTCAAAAGCGGAGTTGAAAGGCGCCGAGGGCGGGTATTGAAAGCGAGGGACCCTGGGCGGAGAGAAACGCCGGGCAAAGTCCTTAAGGATCGGCGTTCACCACGCCATCGCGGTCGTATGGGGACAAGTCAGTGTATAGAACGCGCCTACGGGCACGTCCGCCCCCGCGTACAGCGACCGCGCGTGCTCCGGTGCCACGAGCAGCGCGCGCTTCGCGCCCTCCAGCTGCGTGAGCAAACCGTGGCACAGGTCGAAGTGCGTCGGCGTCACGCAGCCGTGGTTGGAGACCCACACCGAAGACGTGCTCTCGCGGAACGGCGGCGGCGGCGGGTTCGTAGGCGCGTTTCGTGCGTTTTCGGCTTCGTCGTCGTCGTCGTCGTCGGCGTCGTCGTCGTCGGCGTCGACGTCGCCGCCTCCGAACACCGCCGCCGCCGCGCTGAAGTCCACGTCCGCTCGTATCCTCTCCGTCAGCGGCGCGCGAAAGTAACACCGCCGCGGCGCGCTAGGCGCGCCGCGTCCGCGTCCGCGCGTCGCCGCCGCTCGCGCCGCCACGAGCGCGAACGCGTCGCGCGCGAGGACGCCATCCTCCCGGTCGCACAGCCCGCCTCTGCCGAGGAACGTCGACGAGTCTTCGTCCTTCGCGCGCAGGACGACACACGGCGGGTCGTCCGCGTCCGCGAAGACGCCTCGGGCGCCGTCGACGCTGAGGCGCGAGGACGTCGTCCATCGTCGCGCGACGACGCGCGCGACGCACGGACGCGTCGCGCGGAACGCGTCTCGGAATCTTTTCCGAAGCGCGTGGAAATCATCGTGTTCGTCGTCGACGCCGTCGACGCCGCCGCCGCCATCGGCGCGCGGACGTCGCGCGGCGTCGCTCTCGAGTCTGCTCACGGGGAGGAGCGCGCGACGACGCGTCACCGGCGACGTCGCCGGCGCGCGCGGGGGGTGCTCGGGGAGGACGAGCGACGGCGTCCCGGGAGCGGTCGCGTGGACCGCGTCGGCACCGCGCGCGTCGTCGAACGAGAGCGCGTCTGCGATTCGCGCGAACGCGTCGTCGACGCCGTCGTCCCCGTCGCTCTCGCCGCGCGAAGACGCCATGATCGGCGAACGGCGGGGCGTGGGAAGTCTTCGCGGCGTCGCCGACGCGCGCGCGGGCGCCGGACGCGCGCGGACGTGCGCCGGCGGCGCGAGCGACCAGGTTTAATAACTTATTCTCGCCGTGCGTTCGACTTGTCAATGCCTCGTCACGCGCGATGAACGTTTGCGACCTGATCGATGAAGTGCCACGACGAGGCGCGGTCGCGTCGCATACCGTCCACGCCGCGCCCGGACCTCGCGCGGTCGCGATGGGGAAGAAACCGCCGCCGATGGAGGAGCTCCCAAACCTCGACGCCCTGAAGAAGCTCCGCGTCGTCGACCTCAAGCCGCTGCTCCGAGCGCGCGGGCTCGACGACAAGGGCAAGAAAGACGCGCTCGTCGCGCGACTGGACGCATCTCGTGGGGGCGCCGCCGAGCCCGAGCCCGAGCCCGAGCCCGAGCCCGCTCCCGCTCCCGCTCCCGCTCCCGAGGCCGAGCCAACGCCCGAACCGAAGAAGGCGACGAAGGCGTCGCCGGCGAAGAGGGCGAAGACGACGAGAGCGGCGACGGCGGCGAGCGCGCCGCCGCCCGAGGCGGCGCCGGTGGCGGACGACGACGACGACGCGGTCGAGCCGGGCGTCGTCGTCGATCCGTTCGGTTTGGGCGCGGAGTACGCGAGCGACGGCGGCGGCGGCGGCGACGGCGACGGCGACGCGGCGGCGACGAAGGCGCCGCCGCCGAAGATGAACCCAGAAGACGCCCCTCCCGCGACGAAGGAAGACGCGTCGGCGGGGCCGACCGCGAAGCTCTACGTCGGGTTCCTCGGGGAGAAGTGCAACCGAGCGCACATCGCGGAGCTCTTCGAGCCGCACTTCGAACCCGCGAAGGTGTTCATCGCGACTAAACAGTCCGGCACGTTCAAGCAACCGAAGGGGTTCGCGTTCGTGGACGTCCCGGTCGGCGTGAGCGACGACGTCGTCGAAGGCGCGATCGAGGCGTTGAACGGCTCGGCGCACTACGAAGGCGCCAAGTATCCGCTGAAGGTGGCTCGCGCGGAGCGAAAAGACAAAGACAAAGACACTCGGGGCGGCGGCGGCGGCGGCGGAGAGAAACGGAAACGCGACGACGACGACGACCGAGGCGGCGTCCCGCCCGGGAAGTGCGCGACGAAGCTGTTCGTCGCCGGGATGTCCCCGGACGCGCACGAGGAGCTCATGAAGGACGTCTTCCGTCAGTACGGCGTCGTGACGTACGCGCGGGTGTTTCCGCCGCGAGACGGATCGGAGAGCCACAAGCCGCGGAGAGGAATCGTCGCGTTCGAGGACGCGGCGGCGGCGGCCGCGGCGAAGCGCGCGTTGCAAGGGACGACGGCGTTTCACGGCGGGGAGGCGCTGCACGTGTCGTACGCGAACGAGCGACCGGGCGGCGGCGGCGGCGGCGGCGGCGGCGGGGGTTTCGCCGGGAACCGACAGCCGAACGCGATGACGTTGACGACGACGGCGGCGGGACAGACGGTGTACGTCCCCGTCGTCGTCGACCCGATCACCGGGGCGATGACGATGCCCGTCTCCGGCGCTGACGCGGGGGTGCCCGCTATCGGGCAGCAGCAGCAGCGGCAGGGGCGGGGAGGGCGGGGAGGAGGAAGGGGCGGCGGCGGTCCGAGGCGACCGGATTTCCGGTGGGGCGCGACTGGGGCGCCGAACCTTCCGAGCGACGAGATCAGGCCCGGGGACCCGGTGTACCGCGGCGTCGACCTCGCGGGGTTACCGCCCTCCGCGCCGATCCCGGAGAGGTTCCGACACTTGTACGAATGAATAGAATCAGAATTCATTGATCAGATTGATAGGACGCCCGCCTCGTCACTTCCCCGACGAGAGGACGCTGAGCTGGTTCATGAGGTCGTCTAGGTCCGCGCCCGTGTCTTTCACCTTGAACTGCTCGACCGTTTCCGCGTCGAGCTTGTCGCTCGTCGGCATGCTGAACTCAATCCCCGCGGTCAGAGTCTGCTGCCCCTTCTCGCCTTCGCCGCCGCCTCCCGCAGCGGCGACGGTCGACGTTTCGTCTCCCCCTTCGTCTCCCCCGTCCACGGAAATCCCCCAGTCGTTCTCCTCGTGGAGCGCCTTCGCGTCCTCCTCCGCCGCCGCCGCCGCCTCCGCCGCGGCCCTCAACGCGTCCGCAGCCTTCCACTCCGGGCTCTCAAGCATCTCCCGATGATCCTTCTGCGCTCGCACGCACGCGCCGTTATCGCACTCCGGGTTCGCGTGCACGTGCATGCTCGGGAAGTAGTCCTTCAACGCGCTGTATCCGAGGTATTTCGCGACGTCGCCGAAATTCAACATGTGCTTCAACGCGTTTTGCACTAGCATGCCGGCGACCATCCCCATCGTCGTCGGCAGCGACGCCGCGCACACGCCCTCGCGCTTCAGCGTCTTCTCGTCGATCCCGGACGCGACGACGAGCGGCGGCACGCACGCGAAGCACGCGGAAGATCCCGGGGTCATCGTCTGAATGTGCCCGCTCACGGCGTCCTCGCTCACGCCGCTCTCCATCCACGTCTGACGCATCTCCAAACACGCCTGGTTTATGCACATCCGCGCCTCGTAGTTGTCCACGCACGCGAGCACGAGGTCGACCCTGCTCGCGCCCGTGTGCGGGTCCTTCAGAGACTCCGTGAATCGATGGAACCCCTCCACGGTGGTGATGTTCATGTGGTACGACTCGTAATCCACGTCCGGGTTGATGTCGCGAAGCGTTCGCACCGCGGCGTCCGTCTTCGTCATCCCCGCGTGCTCTGGGCGGAAGAAGAGGCGGTTCATGTTCGCGAGCTCGACGGTGTCGAAGTCGTAGAGCTGCAAGCGGCCGATCCCGCAGCGCGTGAGCATCTCCGCGGCGACGGAGCCGACGCCGCCGACGCCGACGACGGCGACGGATTTCTCGCGAATTTTTTTGTACTCGCTCACGATCCCCATGCGCTGCAGCGCCATGAGGCGCGAGTACGGGTTCGTGTCGATCACCTCCGCGGACATGTCGTCCGCGGCGATCTTCGCGCGCGTCGTCGCGCCGCCGCCGGCGACGGAGGCGTCAGTATGCGACAGAGGGAGGCCCTCGTCCGCGACCGCGATGGTTCTCTGCGCCTGCGCGCGAACGTTCGCGATGGACGCGACGAGCTCGCCCGCGCCGTCGACGTTCGTCCAGAGCGCCTCGATCTGCGCGCACAGGGTCTCGATCTCGGCTCGCAGATCGCCCGCGATGGGCGCGCGCGCGGGCGCGGGGGGCGGGGCGGGTTCCGCCATGGCGTCGAGCGAGGGCGCGCGACGTTCTGAGGAGGAAGAAGCCGAGGCGAGGCGGCGTCGCGTCGCGTCGTCGGACGAGGCAACGGCACCAAAAGCAAAAGTTTCGTCTCCCCGCTCGTCAGTTTCGGGGGCGCCGCGCCGATGGCTGACGGCGCCGCCGCCGCGGCGGCGGCGGCGGACCCCGCCGTGGCGCCGTCCTCGCGCCGTCGCGTCTGCGACGGATGCGATCGCCCCGCGTCCGTGTGCCTGTGCGACGCGCTCCCGGCGTCGCCGCTTCCGACGCGAGGCGCGCTCGTGGTGCTGCAGCATCCCACGGAGCACAAGCGTCCGAAGGGGACGGGGTGGATCCTCCCTCGATGCGTCGCGCGGTGCGTCGTGTCGCGCGGGCGACGGCCGTCGCCGTCGCTGCGGAGGATGCTGGAGCGCGTTCTCCCGAAGCGCGCGCCGGTGTATCTCCTGTATCCGCTCGATGAGGCGGCGGACGTGGACGCCGTCGATCTCGTCGCGGACGGAGAAGGATCGACTCAGATCGAGGAGGAGGAGGAGGAGGAGGAGGAAGCGGACGACGGCGACGGCGACGCGACGACGCCTTCCACTTCGACGACGACGGAGGAAGACGAAGCGGTCGCGGACGCGCTGCGCGACGCCGCGTACGTCTGCGTCGTCATCGACGCGACGTGGAAGCAGGCGAGGGAGATGTTCCACGAGACGACGTCCCGGCTGCCGCGACGCGCGAAGGTCGTGAAGCTGGACGACGTCCGCGGCGGCGGCGGCGACGGCGGCGGCGGCGGCGGCGTCATGATCGAGCCGCAGGAAGGCTGCGTCGTCACCGCGGAGGCGACCGCGCGCGCGATGGCGACGCTCGAACGCGCGGCGGCGGCGGCGGCGGGGGGCTCGGCGGAGGACGCCGCCGTACAGCTGTGCGTCGCCGTCGCGGCGGCGGACGCGACGATACGCGCCGTCCGCGCGCAGGCTGCGTTCCAGGCGAAGTACGACCCCGCGATGGCGCCCGGAGTGGTGAAACATCTCGGCGGGAGACGACAGAGGGTCGCGAAGGCGCCGGCGCCGGCGGCCCCAAAAGGCGAAGCAGACGGAGACGAACGCCGCCGCCGCGACCCGACGTCGTCGGCGTCGTCGGCGGCGGCGGCGGCGGCGTGTCGACACATGGTCCGCTCGGGCGCGTGCCTGTACGCGTCCAAGTGCCGCTTCAACCACGACCCGGACGTCGTCGCCGCCGCGGAGCGCGATCTCCTCGCGAAGCGCGACGCGGCGCTGCGCGGCGAAGGGGCCCCGGGCGAGAAGCTTCCCGGACGCTTCGGTCGGCGACACGCGCAGAGAAACCGAAACAAGAGCGGCGATTTCCGTCGATGGCTCGCGCGAACGTTCGGGCTCGACGTCCTCTCCGACGGCGGCGGCGTCCTCGACATCGCCGGCGGGAAAGGCGAGCTCGCGTTCGAGCTCCAGAACGTCACCGGGGTCCCGGTGACGGTGATCGACCCGCGGCCGATGCGCCTGGACGCCTACGTGAAGCGGTTTCGCAAGGGCGTGTACCACCGAAACGCGTCTCCCGCGATGACTGCGAGCGTGCGCCGCGGGAAGGACGCCGCGCTGTCGTCGCCGCGTCACTTGCGCCTGTTCTTTCACGAAAACCTGTGGCGCGGCGGGGTGGACGAGGGCGAGCGAAAGCGCGCGATCGAGGCGTCGCACGCGCTGAGTCTCAGCGCGCGGTGGTCGAGACGGGGGCTCGTGGAGGGCGTCGGCGGCGGCGAAGTCAGCTTATTAGACGAAGACGCGACCACCGGAGAGAAAGTCAAAGTCTTCGAGGCGCGCGGTCGCGCGAGGTCCAAGACGACGACGACGGACGCGACGACGACGACGACGGCGGACGCGACGTATCGACGCGGCGGCGCGGTCCTCCGTCAGCGCGTCGCGCTGTCGTCGACCGCCGCGACCGTCGCCGCTGCGACCGCGACGTGCCCGATCCCGACCCCGACCCCGACTGACGACGCGCCGATCGCGGCGGCGGACGCCCCCCTTCGCGCCGCCGACGCGGCGGCGTGCGCGCCCGACCCCGTGGCGTCGGACGCGATCGCGGAGGTGTTACGCGAGGCGTTAAAGAACGCGTCCGTGGTCGTCGGGCTGCACCCGGATCAAGCCACGGACGCGCTCGTCGACTTCGCGCTCGCGTCCGGGAAGCCGTTTGCCGTCGTGCCGTGTTGCACGTACGGCGCGGATTTCCCCAAGCGACGAACGCCGAGCGGTAAGGTGCGTTATATCCCGCACACTGCTCCCCATACGACCCCGTTCGCGCGGTGGACGCCGTTCCTTAAGAACTTTTGTTTGCCGTCGTTTATCTCCGCCCACCCCTCGCTCTCGATCCCGACACACCTCGACGCCTTTCAACTCCGCTTCTGACGCGCCCCTGAACTCCGCCCCGACGTTCGTCGCTTCGCGCGGGACGGCCCTCAGCGCGTGTCGACGCATTCGGATCTGTGCGCGTACTTGGTCGCGAAGGCGCCGCCCGGGGTGTGCCGCGTGGCGACTCTGCCGTTCGAGGGGAAGAACGTGGTGATATATAGCTTAGGCGAGGACGATCCGGACGCGGGGCTGTGTCGCGCGGTGAGCGGCGCGGCGGTCTGATGGAACGTTTTTTTAGCGAGGACGCGGAGTCGCGTCTTTCTCTCTTCGACGTATGCGTGTAGTCTACACTCTCACCACCCGCGGTCGAACGCCTCCCGTATGCTCTGGTACGTCGCCTTCACGCGCTCCATGACCACCGCTCCCTCTTCCGTCGCCGTCGCGTCGTCATCGCCGTCCGTCGCGCCGCCGCCGCCGCCGCCGCCGCGGACGCCGACGCGAGCGCCGTACCGCTGCGAGAATTTATCCGGGTGCCAGCGCATCGCCGCGGCCTTGAACGCGCGTCGCCGCGCGTCGCCGCCGCCGCCGCCGCCGCCGCCGCGCGCCTCCGCGTCGCGCGTCATGGCGTCGAGGAGGTCCGCGCCGGACCTCGGCGGGAACGGGACGCGCGACGCCGTTATCCTCGCGGGCGGGCGCGACTCGAACGCGGCCCACGCCGATTCGTGCGCGACGTACCACGCGGGAGGCGTCGACGCTGAAGCTGAACGGAGAGAGGAACCGTCGTCGTCGGTCCGATGGCGTCCTCCGCTCGGTGGCACGATCCCCGCCGCGCGCATCCGTCGCGCCTCCGTCGACGCGCGCTTCGCGTTCGCTTCCGCGCGGCTTCGCGCCGCGTCCGCGGCGGCGGCCTCCGGGGTGAGCCCGCGCGCGCGCGCGGACGCGCGCGCGTCGTCGTCACGAACGTCGTCGTCGTCGCCGGCGCGGCGTCCGCGATGATCGGTCGTCGTCGTCGTCGTCGCCGCGGACGCGCGTCGCGCCCTCTCGCGCTGCCGCTCCAATCGCGCCGCGCGCTCTGCCGCCGCCTCCGCCTCCCGCGTCGCCGCCTCGGACGCGGCCTCCGTCGCTTCCGCGGCGGCGGCCGCCGCGGACGCCGCCGCGTCCGTTTCCTCGCGCCGCGACATGTGTGACCGTCCCCGGGAGGCGGATCGACGCGACCGCGACACAGCAAGACTTCTGTTCGCACTGAAACGCTGCCAGCCTGGCCTGACTCGCGGCCGGCCGATAGCCGACGCTTCCATCTTTTTCGAACGAACCGCGCCGCGGGTCGACGCGCGGCATTCGGCCGGACGCGACGCGCACGACGCACGCATCCGCCACCGCGCACTTCGCATCGGTCGAGCGCTCGCGCGAACGGAGCGACCGTCGCGTCAGATCCGCGCGCTCGCCGCGCGTCGACGCGTCGAACGCGCCGAACGGGGGTCGGTCGCGGCCTTGAAAACGAATAAAAACGACGACGATGGCGCTGCTCGCGGGGGCCCCGGGGGGCGCGGTCGCGCGCGTCTCCGCGACCGCCGCCGCGCCGCGCGAGAGGAACACCGCGGCGACGATCGTCGCGAGGCCGCCGGCGCGCCGAGGATCCCGCGTGGTGCGCGTCCGTCCGCGCTCGACCCCGTCTCTTCCCCCGTCCGCCGCCCGCCCGTCGCGAGAAGCGGTCGTTGGGTCGAATCATAAAATCCGCGCGACACGTCGCCTCCCCGCGTGCGCCGGGCCGCCGCGCGCCGCCGCGCGGCGCCGCGCGGCGCCGCCTCGACCGATCGCCGCCTCGACCGCGCGTCCTCGCGCCGTTCGAACGCCGCCCCCCCACCCGTCGTCCCTCGCGCTCACGTCGCCACCCGCCCCCCCGTCTCCACACGTCACTCCCAGGTTATGCGCGCGGGGCAGCGGCAGCCGCCGTCTCGCGGCGACGATCCTGGTATGAAGAAGAAGAAGAAACCGGCGGCGGCGCGGCGCGAGCGAGACGCGCTCGGCGAGGTCCTGCGCGTCATGGGCGACTCCGCGACGGCGCGCGCGTCCAGCGTGGAGGCGCCGCTGGACGAGGAGCGCGCGGACAAGCCCGCGGGAGGGAGAGGAGCGCGGAGAGGGACTGCCGACGGGAATAATGATGGCGACGGAGGATCGGACGCCTTCGGAATGGAGGACGGAGAGAAGAAGACGCCGACGCCCGCCTACGACGCGTCCGGCGCGGAGAAGGAACGGGTCGTGAAGCGCGCGACCGAGAGGAAGTCGTCCGACGTCGAGCGGTCGCAGGACTGGAGCGAGGCGGCGCAGGCGAGGGAGGTTGGCCGCGCCGCGCAGTACATGCGCGACCTCATCTCGAGGCAGGTGAAGAGCAATAATCTCAGCCGCGCGGGGTCTCTCGCGGACAGCACCGTGTTGCGACGCAAGGGGCGGCTCAAGGAGCAGGACCCTTTCATCGAGTTCATCGTGGATCTGTTCAAGACGCACGAGACGGAGGAGGCGCTCGCGAAGGCGGAGAAGTGGCTCGACGCCGCGATCGCGATGCCGCCGACGAAGCGCCGGTTCGCGAACATCTATCGCCAGGTCCCCAAGCTCGGGTATTTTTTCCACGCGCTGCCGCTGTCCAAAGCTCTCGCGGAGTACGACGAGTTTTGCGCGCTGACGAAGCGGAAGTACGTCCGACCCAACTTCGCGGAGGTGCGGCACATCATCAACATCGCGCAGGTGCACGCGAGCGCGAGGGAGGTGAAGCTCGTGACGTTCGACGCGGACGGCACCCTCTACGCCGACGGGAAGCACTTCGAGGAGGATAACCAGATGATCGACAAGATCATTCAGCTGATGGAGGTGGGCGTGCACGTCGCCATCGTCACCGCGGCGGGGTACCCGGGCGACGCGAAGAAGTTCGAGCAGAGGCTGCGCGGGCTGCTGGACTCGTTTAAGAGCGCGCGGCTGAGCGCGGACGTGCGCAAGCGCTTCCACGTCATGGGCGGCGAGTGCAACTACCTCCTCGAGGTGAACGACGAGTACGAGCTCGAGTTCGTGCCCAACGAGAAGTGGAGGGACGTCGACAGCATGACGCGGGAGATGTACTGGTTCGCGCAGAGCGAGGAGGGCAGGAAGAAGGTGGACGCGTTCCTCGACCGCGCGGAGAAATTCTTGACGGACGAGGCGGAGCACCTGCAGATTGACGTCGACGTCATGCGCAAGGAGTACGCCGTGGGAGTCCTCCCCAGGAGCGGCACCGTGTACGAAAATTTGGAGGAAATTTCCATCGGCGCGATGATCGAACTCTCCGACGCGGAGGTGCCGTACTGCGCGTTCAACGGCGGGAACGACGTCTTCGTGGACGTCGGGAACAAGAACATCGGGCTGGTGACGCTGATGAAATTTCTCGGGTACGAGGGGCATCAGACGCTGCACGTCGGGGATCGATTCACGAGCACCGGGAACGACACCAAGGTGAGGGACGCGTGTTCGATCCTGTGGGTCGCGAGTCCGGACGAGACGACGTTCTTCATGCGGCTGCTGTACCGCGACATCGTGAACATGCGGGTGCTGTGAGCGGCGCGCCCGGGCGACAGGAGGCGCGGGTTTTGTACGAGTAATAAGGGTGTTAAGTGAGGAGTAAAAGAGTTGGGCGGAGTTGGGCCGCCGCCGCCGCGAAAGAAGTAAAAAGAAGAGAAATAAATCGAATTCTTAAATAACCTATAAGAGGACGTCAGAGACGAAGCGGACGGAGCAGACCGAAGGTCGCCGTCGGCGAGAAAATACTAGTCTTAGCGTAGCTCTGCGGCTGCCGTACGCAAGTGAGTCGACCGGTTCTTCGCGACAGTAGATCACTGGAAGAAAAAAAAAACTCTCCTCGCGGAGTAGTTGTACTCCCCACTCGCCTACACGTCCGTAACCGATTACCCATAGGGCCTACTGTACAAAAGAATGTCTCTTTTTTTAACGCCTAATATCCCCCGTGGTCTATTTTCGGTCGTTTAACCTTACTCTCGCTCTCGCGCGCGCGCGCCGACTCACTCCCCGCGCGTGGACGATGACGGGCACGAAAAGAAAGGCGCCAATCCGGAAGACGACGTTCCAAGCGTTCATTGCAACATACCTCGTCACCTGCGCGACGTTGGAGGCGGACACGACCACGCCGCGAGAGGCGGTCTTCAAGCGCGGCGAGGAGCTCCTCTCCGAGGTCGTCTTCGAGGCGGCCGCGTACACCGAGCGCAATAACATGCGCTTCAGCCCCGTGAACCTCCCCACAGGCGCGTGGTGGGGGAAGTACGGCCTCAAGGCCCCGTTCATCATCGTGCTCGGGCACTTCGAGACGTCCTCGCTCAACCTGCTCGGCGTGCTTCTCGCGGCGCGTTCGAAAAAAAAGGACGGTCTCAGGTGCGGACGGTCCTCGGACGCGCCGTCGTAGGGGCTCCGAGCGACGACGACGACGCGCGACGACGACGCGCGACGGCGCACTCCCCGTCGCGCGCGCCCTCCTTTCTCATGTTATCCGTTTATCCGTCGCGCGGTGATCGGGAGCTCCCGTTCGTTCCCTTCTCTCGCGGTGCCGCGTGCTCGCGCAGTCGCGCCGCCGACGAGCGACAGCTGTACTTCCGGGCTCCTCCTTCGCGGTCGCAGACCTCGACGCGCTGCGTCGACGCGCTGCGCGAGCGCGATGATGTCTGCGACCGCGTGATGGAGATCCCGCTCATGTCCCTTTTCTACCACCTCTCCTCGCGCTCGTCGACCCCTCTCGCGCTCGTCGAGCCCCTCTCGTGCTCGTGCGTGACGAACGACGTCGACCCGCCCTCTTGTTCTCCTTCCACAGGGCGCCAGTTTGGAACATACTCGACAACTACGTAGGCAGGGGCATCCTCGCGGCTTCCGCGGTCGTCGTCAACATCTGCGTCTTCACCGCGGGCCACAACGCGGGTACGACGCTCTACGACGGCATCCCGGCCGAAGCCGTCGAGCTGATGCATCGCCTCCGCGTCGTCACGCTCAACGCGCTCGGGAACCCGAAGAAGGTCGGCGGGTTCGGCGGCGGCGTCCGGGAGTGGATAAAGAAGCACCTCCGACCGAACCGTCGCGCGCTTTGGACCACGTTCAAGGGCGAGATCGACGACGCGTGCGTGCACTTGTGCATGTTCACGTCCATCACCAAGAAGAACTTCGTCCGCTCGAACTGGTTCGAGCGCTTCGACCATCTCGTGCAATTCATCTCGGGCAAGCGCGGCGCGGGCGCGAGACTGAAACAGGTGCTCACGAAGGACGGCAAGTACGACGAGGCGCTCGCGAAGCGGATGGAGGAGGACCACCGTGAGCTTTGCCGGAAGAACGCGGCGCTGACGGGCTTCGGGGGGAAGTACGAGACGGAGAAGCAAAAGAACGCGCGCTTCGGGGGCAAGAACGAGACGGAGAAGCAAAAGAACGCGCGCTTCGGGAGCAAGAACGAGACGGAGAAGCAAAAGAACGCGCGCTTCGGGAGCAAGAACGAGACGGAGAAGCAAAGGAACGCGCGCGCGCTTCACGGCTTGACCGCAAACCTCGGAAATGTCGGCTCCCGGACGACCGACGGTGTGCAGGGACGAAACGTCCCCCCCGGTGCGAAGTGCCGCGTGTGCGGCTGCGACATCGGCACCGGTCGTGCTCTCGTGTTGAGCGTGGGCGTATCCAATCTCCGACCGTGCGGCCACTACTTCTGCGCGGGGAAGTGCAACAAGGACATCTACTTCAACATTGACCGGCTCAAGGAAATGATCACGAAGTGCAACGAGCATCAGCCGCTGCAGGGCGGCGTGACGGGGTTCGTGGAGTCGTTCGCCAAGCTCTGGTTCAAGAAGAAGAAGGAGAAGAAGCCGAAGGGGAAGGAGAAGAAGTGAGTAAGAGACGAAGAAGCGTACGTGTACTGATACGATACCGACGCGGCGGCGACGACGACGACGACGACGACGACGACGAACGAGATGCTCTCCGAGCGCAGCGAACAAACGAATAAGTCCAATGACTGGCAGAGGATCCGATTAAAGAATCTTACGTCGCCTACAACTTACTTTAAACGCTCCACTCGTCCGCCTCGATCTCCTCCCTGAACGCCTCCAGAAACCTCGAGGAGACGCGAGTAGCGAGTGATCACACTTCGATATCATATTTCATACGCTCGCGTGATCGTCGCTTCACCGCACACCCCATCCCATACCGCTCGCCGCCGTCCGTAGCTAAACGCCCAGGCTAAGAGTCCTAAAGAGCGAACCGACAAAACCGGGAGAGAGACGCCTGCGCCTCGCCTTTCCTCTCGTCTCGTCCTCTCCCCCGCGTGCCCTCCTCCGAGTCGTCGTCGTCGTCGTCGTCGTCCCTCCGTCCGTCCGCCCTCCCTCCTCGTCCTTTACTTACGCCTCGCCCGCGGTCTCCTCGTCCTCGATCTTCGGCGCGAGGTAGTAGCGCACGTACCCCATGTCCGCGATGAGGTACTGCACGACGACGGGAAGCTCCTTGGACATCTGCAGCTGCACCGTCGGCGCGAGCGGCGTCGCCTTGGTGAACGAGTTGAGGTACCTCAACGCGAACGTGAGCGTCACCGGCTCCTGGAGCTCGATCACGGTCTGCTCCTCCTTGTCCACGGACGTGTTCTGGCGGCACGTGATGTTCGCCTGGCCGATGTCGCCGGTCGTGGAGAACTTCACGCCGTCCTTGGAGTAAACGCGTCAAGCTTTCGCTTTCCCGCCTCTGACCTCCGCGAGCGCTCGCCTCGCGTGCGCCACCTCGGTCGCGACGAACTTCACCCTTCGCTCGAGCGCGTTGAGCTCGAGCTCCAGCGCGGTCGCTTTCCGTTCCCAGTACGCCTCGTCGCCGCCGCCGTTGCCGCGCCACCACAGCACCGAGTCGAACACGTAGTCCGTGAGCCCGGAGAGGTACCCCCAAAAGATCCGCATCAAGTGCAGGGTCATTATGAACAACCCCAACAGCGAGAAGACGGCGAACGCGGCGAACGGACCGCCGCCGATGAGCGACCCGGAGCCGTAAAACCACGCGCCGTAATTCGCCTGTTTCATCGCGAGCGAGCGTTTCAACCCGCCCTGTTTCATCGCGAGCGAGCGTTTCAACCCGCGCGCGTTCACCTCTCCGCCGTGATGATGATGATTCGCGTCGACGCCCATCACGTCGACGCCGTTGATGGAGCCTGCCCTGGGCGTCATCGGCGGCGAGTGCCCGTTGACGCTGCCTTGCGGCGTGATGTCGCCGCTGTTCTTTCTCCCGCCGCCGTGCCCGAAGAGCATGCGCCAGATGACGTCTTTGCTTCCCTCCGGGATGTTCAGCTTGGACGCGTCCACGACGTGGTCTTCATCCGGGCTCCCGTTCAGCATCGCGACGCCGTGCTTATCGATGAACGCCTTGACTTTCTCGCGGTTCAAGTGCTCCATCGTCGCGCGGGCGAGCCCGAGGACAATCTCCACGGACTTTTTCGACTCGTTCAACGTCGACTGCTCGATCACCGTCCGCAGCATCGTCGTCCGGTGAAACGGGACCCTCAGACCGACCCACAGCGTGCATCGATCGATCACCGCGCCGTCCGGTCGAACCTTCGCGGTCGTCGGGGCCACATCCCACCGCCCCTCGACCCTGAAGTAGTCCCCGTACGGAATATCCAGCTGCACTTGCGCGGTGTCGATGACCATCACGCCGCCGCGATACGTCGCGTAATTTTGCGACTGCCGGCACCGCGTCTGCTTCGGGCCGATGGACGCGTTGACGGGCGCGATGAACGTCAGGTCTCTCCCGTACTTCCCCGGGCGTCGCTCGGACGACGCGCTCGCGCTCGCGGTCGCGGTCGCGGGCGGCGTGTCGTCGTCGCGCGCGTCGCCTCGCGCGCAGTCCGTCTCCGCGATCGACGTGGCGTGCGGCGTCCAACGGGTCGCCGCCACGTCGCGTTCGCCTCTCTTCTCGTGACACGTCGCGTTGAACCCCGCGCGCGCGCTGTCGCTCCAGACCGTCTTGAAGAACTCGTCCACGGTGCAGTCCAGCACCGTCTCCTGCAGCGTCTTCATGTTCTTCGGGCGGTCCGGGACGTCGTCGTGCGTGAACGTCAAGCCTTCGCCGCAGCCGAGAATCGTCCCCGACGCGACGTCGTCGTCGTCGTCGTCGTCGTCGTCGTCGTCGTCGTCCGCGTCGGCGTCGGTGCCCCCCTCGCTCGGGGTCGCGCTCTCGCCCTGGCGCTCGTCGTCGCCGTCGTCGTCGCTATCCGACCGGGGACCCGCGGGCGACTCGCCGCGATCGACGACGTCGCCGACGTCGATCCCGAGCGAACTCTTCCGGCTGTTCGATTTCCTCGGCGGTTTCCGTCTTGAGACGCTCCCCGCGCCGCCGCCGCCGCCGCCGCCGCCGTCCCCGGACGCGTTGCTACTGTTCGGGCCGCTGTGCGCGCCGTCGCTGCCGCTCGCCGAGCGTCTCCCGCTGCTCTTCCGCGAGCGCGCGCTGCTCGGCGACGCGGCGGCGACGGCGTCGAGCAACGGATTCGCGGCGGCGCCGTCGACGCTCGATTTCCTCGACGACGCCCTCTCGGAATTTCGCCGCGAGCGCGACGACGAAATCGACGACGACGCCTTCTTCGAGCCGCCGAGCTTGCTGCTCCCGAGGCTTCTCCTTCGATCGCTCCTCGCGTCGTCGTCGCCACCTCCCTCCCTGGGCGTTCCGTCCGACCCGTCCCCGGCGCCGAGCGAGCTCGACCGCGCGAGGTTGAGCATCGCCGCGATCTCCGCCGGCGGCGCCGACGAAAACGTCGGCTGGCGGTGATTCGCCTCCTCCTCCTCCGCGCGCTTATGCACGTCCACGCCCGCGAATATCCGCCCGTACGGACACACCTGGTTCCACGCGCTGCTTATCTGTTTATACGCGCTGTCCGGGGTGAGGAACGACGTGAAGAACTCGCACTTACCGTTCCAAACGATCTCGATCGCGTTCGGCACGACCTTCACCGTCTTCGCCCTCCGAACGATGGTGACGTTCTTCAACGGGATCACCTTGTGCTTCTGATACCCGAACACGTTGCTGTAGAAGCACACGTAGTTCTCGAACAGATACATGCGGCCCTGGAGGAGGATCTTCTTGTACAGCGCGCAGAGAAACTCGTCCACGACGACCTCGTCCGGGGGCAGGTTGAAGAAGCGCGCCAGGCGCGCGTTTTTGTCCTTTGGCTTCTCGTCGTCCTTGCTCGCCATCGACCCGCTCCGCCGGCCGACGCTCCCCGGGCCGCTCGACTTCCGCGACGTCGTCGTCGCCGCCGCCGTCGCCGCGGACGTCGACTTGGGCGAGGACGCCTCCGCGTCGTCGTCCGCGGATAACGCCTCGTCGGATAACGGCGGCGACGACGCGCCCGTCTCCATCTTCGCCGCGCCGCTGCCCGGGGGCACGCGCGCGCTGAGCCCCGTCCCGGACGCGCCGCGGTCGAAGTCGTCGCCGTCGTCGCCGTTCAGTGGGAGCGGCACGAGCGTCTCGGACCCGCGCGGGTTCGTCGACGCGTCGTACTCGTTCGGGGGCGATCCCGCGAACGACATGCTCGTCGCCTCCGCGAAGGACGAACCGTATCCGCTGCCGCCGGAGCTGCCGCCGCTGCGGGGACCGTCGTCGCTTTTGGGCGAGGAGGGATTCGACATTTTGTCGCGAGCGATCCGAGACGAGACCCGCGGCCGGCGACGGCGTTCCCTCGGCGTCCTCCGCGAGGATCGCGCGCGTCCGCGATGATCGCGCGCCGCCGGACCGTTCCCGCGCGCGCCCGAGCGTCCCGCCGCCTCGCGAGGGGGGACCCTGCGCGAGGACCGCGCCGCGCGGACCGTGCCGCGGCCGCCCGCGAGAATGCCCCGAATCGACCCGCGAAGCGACGAAAATGCGATCGATGACTCTTCTCGCGCGTGACGAGGACGAGGACGACGGGAGGGCGCGCGCGGTCCCCGACCCGGGGTCACTTCTCCGAACGAACGACGCGAACGATGCTCGCGTCGCAAGCCGGCGGCGCGAGCCTCGCGTCTCGCGTCTCCGCGGCGTCCGCGCGATGCCGCGCGGATCGCGCGACGACGACGGCGCCCCGGAAGGCGACGATCGCGCGCGGTCGACGAAACCGCCGCAAGGATAAATCGCGCGCCACCACCACCGTCGACGACGACGACGACGACGCGAGCGCCGAGACCACCGCGGACGCGCTGAGCGACCTCGCGTCGCGCGGCGTGGACGTGGACGCCGCGACCGCGGCGGCGCTGGACGCGAGCGCGCGGGACATGCTCGCGCGCGCGGGCATCTCCGCGGACGCGGTCGCCGCGGAGACGCGCGGCGACGCCGTCGCGTCGTCGTCGTCGTCGTCGGCGCCCCTCCCCGCGGTGTCCAGGGACGACGTCCTCGACAGCTGCGTCGGGACGACCGCGTGGATGCTCGCGATCGGTCTGATCGCGCGCGAGGGCACGTACTTCGGGCAGGGCGTGCTCCCGGACGCGGTCCCGGACCTCGCGAGCGCGCTGCCGCTCGTGGCCGCGCTGCATCCGCCGTTTCCGCCGTCGGACCTCGCGAGGGATCTGGGGATCGCGGTTGGCGCGGCGGCGGCGGTGACCGCCGCGCGGGGGGCGCTGCTCCGAGCCTGGCCGGTGCGCGTCGATCGATCAAATCACAACGCGACCGACCGCCGTCAACCGTCGCTCTCCTCCCTGTGTCCCGTCTCCGCCGCGCCGTCCGTTGTTCTCTCTCTGACGTCAGTCGTCTCCTCATCATCTTCGCCGTCGCCGCCGCCGCGTCGTCGTCAGGACTTCGCGGAGGCGTCCAACCGCAGCAACGCGCAGGTTCTAACGCCGTTGCGACCGTTCGACGTCGTCACCGTCGCCGTCTTGCCCGCGCTGGCCGAAGAAACGCTCTTCCGCGGTGCGTTACTCCCCGCCATCGGCGTCTCGCCCGTCGGCGTCGTCGGCGCGGGCGTCGTCTTCGGCGCGTTGCACGCGGGCGGAGGAAGAAACGCGGCGTTCGCCGCGTGGGCGAGCGTCGTCGGGTGCGCGTACGGCGCGTGCGCGGTGGCGACGGGGAACGTCGCCGTCGCGATGGCGGCGCACGCGATGGCGAATTACGCCAGCGCGGCGTTGTGGCTCAAGGAGAACCCCGACGCCGCGAAGGCTTAGAGACGCGCGCGCTCGCGTAGATGTTGATGTTGTTAACCGAAATTATTATTGCTGCACCGAAAAACCGCTCGTCGCTCGACGCGATCGTTCTTCACTCCTCGGGGCGGCGTCGGAGGGGCATGCGCGGCGCGCGCCTCGGCCTGGACGAGTCCAGTCGCGACGTCCTCCTCGACCTGATTTATCGCCTGTCCCTCCGCGATCGCGACGCGAAGGACGAGAGGAAGGAGCGGAAGCGCTCCGACGCGCGAAAAGACGACGAGGAGAGCGCGCGCGACGACGACGACGCGGATCTCACCGAGGAGGAGCGCGAGCGTCGCGCGCGCAAGGACAGAGTCAAGGAAGCGCGACGCGCGGAGAAGACGCGGGAGAAGAAAGAGAAGGTGCTCAGAAAGGCGCTGAGGGAGGACCGGAGGAACCCGACGAAGGGCGGCGGCGGCGGCGGCGGCGGAGGAGGAGGGGATGGCGTCGACGGCGCGGCGATCGAAGGCCTCGCGTCCGCGCCGTTCGAGGTTGGATCCACGGTGAACGTCAACGTCACGTCCACGAGCGGCGGCGGCGAGGTCAAAGTCGTGACCGTGAAGCGGGACGTCGACCTGAAGACGTTCTTGACCGCGGCGAAGGCGAAGCTGAAGCTCAAGAAGAAGCCCCTGAGCGCGAGGACGCACCCGGGCGGGGCGGAGATATCCAACACGCTGCGCGTGCTGCCGATGTCCACGGTGGCGGTGAGTAACGACCCGCCGTCGTCCGTTACGAAACCCGGGAAGGACGACGACGAAGGTGATGGTGATACAAGAGAAGAAGATGATGAAGACGTCGTCGTCGACGACGACGACGACGCGGAAGAGGAAGAGGACGCGACGGCGAGGCTGAGAAGCGCGATGGCGACGCGCGCGGCGAGAGAACGCGCCAAACGCTCGCGTCTTCGGCTCTCCGCGACGGAAGCGGACGCGGAGTCCGACGCGCTCGCGCGCGCGATGACGCGCGCGCCGTCGTTCCCGCTGCACGACGCGCGAACGCGTCTCCCCGCGCACGGCGTCCGGGACGAGATCGTGCGACTGATGGATAACGCGTCGGCGGCGGCGATCATCACCGGCGAAACCGGCAGCGGAAAGACGACGCAAGCGCCGCAGTACGCGCTCGAGCGCGAGATCGCGCGCGGCGCCGGCGGTCGCTGCAACATCATCGTCGCGCAGCCGCGCCGCGTCGCCGCGGTGTCCATCGCGTCCAGAGTCGCGGAAGAGCGCGACGAGCGCGTCGGCGACGTCGTCGGCTACGCCGTGCGCGGGGACAGTAAGGCGCGTCCCGTTCGTATCGCCCCGCGCGCGCGCGTCGTGTTTCTCTCCGCCCACCCCTCGCTCTCATTCGATCCCGACGCGCCGCGACGCCTCGCGACGCCAACTGACGCGCCCCCGATGAACCCCACCCCGAAATCGATCGCTCTCAGACGAGCCGGCGCACGAGGCTCACCTTTGTGACCACCGGCGTCTTGCTGCGGCGGTTGGCTTCCGACCCGACGTTGGAGGGCGTCACGCACGTGTTCGTGGACGAGGTGCACGAGCGCACCGCGGACGCGGACTTTCTGCTGATTCACCTGCGCGATATCTTGCGCGCGAACGCGCGTGACGTGGACGCGTCGCAGCGCGACACGTGGCGTCCGCCGTTGCGGGTCGCGCTGATGAGCGCCACGGCGGATTGGGAGAAACTCGCCGCGTATTTCGACGGCGCGTCGATCGACTCCGCGCCGCCGCCCGGGAGGGTGCACATCCCGGGCCGGACGTTCCCGGTCGAGGAGCACTTCGCGGAGGAGTTCGTGAAGCGCGGCGGCGGACGACGCGCGGTGACCGGTGGTCCGACATCGTCGTTCGACAATGTCAGGTGCGTCCCACACACTGGTCCCCATACGACCGCGTTGGCGTGGTGAACGCCGATCCTTAAGGACTTTCGCCGACGCATCACTCCGCTCATCCCTCGCTTTCAATCCTCGCCCTCGACGCCTTTCAACTCCGCTTCTGACGCCTATGAACTCCACCCCGACGTTCGCTCGTATAGAGGTCCCCGCGGCGGTCCCCGTCCTCCCCCCGGGGTCGATTACGACCTCCTCCTCGCCGTCGTGCGCACGATCTGCACGATCTGCGCGAAGGGAGAAACGGAGCCGCCGCCGTGCGAGGGCGCGATCTTGGTCTTCCTCCCCGGCGCCGCGGAGATCGCGGAGGCGGAGAAAGCGCTGCTTAAACGCCTCGGCGGCGACCACGAAATGTACGTCGTCCCTCTCCACGGCCAGCTCACGCCGAAAGAGCAGCAGAGAGCGTTCGCGAAGCCTCCCGATCGCGACGCGCGGAAGATCGTGCTCGCGACGAACGTCGCGGAGACGTCGCTGACGATCCCGGACGTCGTCTACGTCGTCGACAGCGGCCGCGTGAAACGTTTGACGCACGATCCGACGACGCATCTCGCGGCGTTGACGGAGGGACGCTGCTCGAGAGCGTCCGCGGCGCAGCGACGCGGCCGCGCCGGGCGCGTGAAACCCGGCGTGTGCGTGCGTTTATACGATCGCGACGTCGCGTCGAACGAGATGCCCGAGACGGACCTCCCGGAGATGCACACGGTGCCGCTGGAGTCGTTGGTGATGGCGGCGATGGCGTCGAGGCCGGAGACGTCGCCGGAGGCGTTCCTCGCGAGCGCTCTGGACCCGCCGCCGTCGGCCGCGGTGCGCGCCGCGATCGCTCGGCTTCGATCCATCGGCGCGGTGGTCAACGCGGCGTCGACAGACGACGCGTTGAGCGACAACACTAATTCTCTAACGCTCACGCCGCTGGGGTTTCATCTCTCACACCTCCCCGTGGAGCCTCGGCTCGGGAAGATGCTCGTGTACGCGGTGGCGCTCGGGTGCCTCCCCGCCGTGCTCACGGCGGCGGCGGCGATGTCGTGTAAGCCGATGTTTCACGACGCCGCGGATAAAGCCGCGGCGACGCGGGCGAAGCGCGACGCGTCGGATAAGAGAGGCGGCGCGTCGGATCACCTCGCCGCCGCGGAGGGGTTCGACGCGTGGCGCGACGCCGCCGGCGGCGGCGGCGGCGGCGGAGGCGGCGGGAGGGGCGCCGTCTGCCGCGAGATGAAACTCTCGTACTCGACGATGCACGAGATACACCAGGTCCGGAACCAGCTCAAGGAACGGCTCGCGGAGAGCGGTTTCAGACCGGACGCGCCCGCGGCGTCGGCGCACGCGTCGAACGACGATCTCGTCCGAGCGGTGCTCGTCGCGGGGCTGTTCCCGAACGTAGCGCGCGTCGCCGCCGGCGGCGGCGGCGGCGGCGGCGGGCGCGGTTCCGGCGGGCGCGGCGGTAAACGCCAAGGCAACGGCCCTCGCGTCGTGAACAGTCGCGGCGTAGAAGTCACGATCCACCCGTCGAGCGTGAACGCGTCCTCCGCGGAGCTCCCCGGGCCGAGGGAGGGGTACTACGCGTACCAGGAGGAGGTGGAGACGTCGAGGGTTTTTCTGCGCGAGACGACGGCGGCGCCGAGCGAAGCCATCTTGCTCTTCGGCGGCGCGCTGTCCGTGGACCACGCCGCGAGCACGGTGACCGTGAGCGCTGGCGGCGGCGGCGACGGTTCGAATTCCACCGGTGGGAACAAACCGTTCGTCTTCGCCGCGAAGCCGGAGACGGGGGTGTTGTTCAAGCTGTTGCGATCGGAGTTGGATCGACAGCTGGCGGCGGCGGCGGCGGATCCGGAGGCGCTCGCGACGCGAGGGTTGGGGGGCACGGACGCGGGCGAGCGGTTGATGGAGGTTCTGTTGAAGCTGTTGCCGGGCACGAGGGCGGGTCGATGACGGTTCGGGCGCCGTCTTCTTTCGTAGGCGCGTAGTTTAATAGTCTCTGCTGGTCAAGAGAGCGCGAGAGAGCGGCGCGCTTTTCGGACGCTTTCGGATGACGAAAAGATCACGAATATCTTGGCCGCAGATCTAACAACAGAACGATGCGCGCGCTCGCCCCCTCGCGTCTCGCGGCGGTCGCTCTCCGCGCTTCCGCCCCCCGCCGCGGCGTCCGTCGACTCGCCCGCCCCGTCCGCGCGTCCGCTTCCGCGCGCGATGGCGACGTCATCTTCGACGCGTACGAGATCTTAGACGTCCGCGACGACGCGACCGCGATCGACATCAAAGACCGGTATCGCGACCTGCAAAAGCGCTTCCACCCGGACGTGTCCGGGGACGACCCCGAGGTCCTCGGTCGCAGCGCCGCGATCAACCGCGCGTACGAACTCTTGATCGACAAGGATCGGCGGCGCGACCTCGACGACGCGCTCATGCGCGCGAACGGGGGGAAACGCCGTGATCGCGCGACGCACGGCGGCGGGCGCGCGATCGCGAGCGCCTTCGGCCTCGTCGGCCCCCTCCGCGAGCGGCTCCTCGCGCGCATGGACGTCTGCGGCGGGTTCGACCCGGACGCGCGCGCGTGCGACCTCAACGTCGTCGCGGAGTTGACGGAGGCGATCAGGGAGTGGGGGAAGATGCTCGCGTTCACGTCCGAGATGCCTCTGCCGCTTCCGCTGCGGTGCGACGACGTCGCGAACGGGCTGCGCGTCGCGTTCGTAACCTTCGCCGACGACGAGCTCCAAGAAGTCGGCGCGCTGTGCATCACCGTGGAGAAGACTAGTACAAGTAAAAGACCCGCCGGCGAAGAAGAAGGAGAAGAAGAAAGAGGAGAAGGAGACGGCGGCGCGGCGAGCGATGGCGTCGAGGTGAAGGTGCGAAGGACGTGGTCGGAGAAGGCGTCGGGCGCCGACGGCGGCAGGGGGGGATTCCGATTTCGCGGCGGCCCCGGCGACGCGCTCCCCGGCGAGGGACGCGTCCTCGCGTGCTTCGCGGAGGAGTTCAACTTTCTCGTCGTGGACGATAACTTATCCGGGGGGAAGAAGAACGCGGGGGGTAAGAGCGCGAACGACGATCGAGGGTGGTTCGGGAACATCGTGTCGAGCGTGTCGTCGTTCGCGCTGCCCGTGTTGCCCATGTTGGGAGGCGGGAAGGTGGCCCCCGGGGGGAGCTACGACGGGTACCGGATCAACCGATCGGGGAGCGGCGAGTTCGGGAGCGTCGACGACGACGCGGGCGATGGACTCTAGATTGTTGTCGTTATCATCGTAGTCGTCGTCGTATGATGCCGAGCACGTCGACTCATCATTTTCCATAAAAAAGCCGTCCACGATCGACGCGATCGCGACGATCGATTTTTCCGAGGCGAGTGGTTTTTTGAACCGTTGTCCGCGGTGACGCGCGCACTCGACGCGACACCGGCGGCAGCGACCGTCCGCCGCGCGCGAGGTTTTCGGCGTCCACGCGCGCGCGACCCCGCGCGCGACCCCGCGCGCGACCGCGAAGGAAACCCCGGCGTGCACGGCCGAGGGCGCGTGCACCGCGAATCTCGAACGCCCTTCAGGGGTGCCATCTTTTGATCGTCGACGCGAACGCTCGTTCGTCCGACGCGATGTCCTCGCTCGCGATTCAACGCCTCGCGATCGAGCGCAAGGCGTGGCGCAAAGACCATCCGCACGGCTTCGTCGCGAGGCCCGTGAACGCGCGAGACGGCTCCGTGAACATGCTCATTTGGGAGTGCAAGATCCCGGGGAAAGCGGGCACGCTGTGGGAATCCGGGCTCTTCCCCGTCACGATGTACTTCACCGAGGACTACCCGTCGAAACCGCCCAAGGTGTCTTTACCGGCCGGGTTCTTCCATCCGAACGTGTACCCGTCCGGGAAGGTCTGCCTCTCCATCTTAAACGAAGAGAAAGGCTGGAAGCCGTCCATCACGGTGAAGCAGATTCTCACGGGCGTGCAAGAGCTTTTAGACAACCCGAACAACGCCGACGCCGCGCAAGACGTCGCGTACAAGCTGTACAAGAAGTCCAAGGCGGAGTACAGCAAACGCGTGAGGATCGAGGCGGCGCGGTACACGGAGACCGCGACCGGGGGGGCGGGCGGTGGGGGTGGCGGCACGAACGCGAACGACGCGGTCGTCATCTTATGATAGACGCGCGACACGACGACGACAGCTGGCGAGAAGAGCGCGGCGAAACCAAAACGCGAAACAAATAGTAGATAGCACGCGTACTGTACCCCTCCTCGCGTCTTGTAATAAGACACGCGAAGGACCGAGACGACTCGCCCGCGTTCGACGCGCTTTTTGTGATGATCACACGTTGTATACACAATGCACGTTTGTTTATTCGTTCCCTCGTTTACCCTCCCAGCCCCGCCGCGTTCGGTCGGTCCGTCGCTCCGTCGCTCCCTCACACCGCCAGCGGCTGCGCGACGGACGCCGCCGGGGCGACGTTCTCGTCCCCTCCCTCCTCCGTGGCGGCTTCCTTCCCCTGAATCTTGTTCCCCGCGCCGACGGTGAACGCCCCGGGGTTGATCGCGACCGTCTTCGTCGTGTTGTTCGTCTTGTAAATCCCGACGAGACGGTCCGCGAGCTCGAACATGTTGTTCCGCAACGAGATGATCACAAACTGCGCGTTTTTCGTCCGCTCTTTGATGTAATGCCCGACGATGGACACGTTCTTAAAGTCCAGCGCGGCGTCGATCTCGTCCATGACGTAAAGCGGCGTGGGCTTGTAGTGATGCAGCGCGAACACGAGCGCGAGCGAGGACAGCGTCTTCTCGCCGCCGGACAAGTTCGCGATGTTCTTCCAGCTCTTCTTCGGCGGCCGCACGCTGAAGACGATGCCCTCGGCGAACGGATCGAGCGAATCCACGAGCTCCAGCTCCGCGTCTCCGCCCAACGTGATCATCTGATACATCTCCTTCAACCGGAGCGAGATGACGTTAAACCCGGACATGAACTCGTCCAGACGCTTCTTGCGCAGGTCGTCGTACTCCGCGCGCGTCGCGTCGCGCGCCTCCGTGACCGTCCGAAGATCGCCCGCGCGTTCTTCGTACTCGCCCTCCTTGTTACGAAACGCCTCGATCGACGAGAGGTCGGGTTTCATGACCGCGAGCTCCTCTTCCAAGCGTTTCTCGTCCGCGACGAGCGCGTCTGTGGTCTCGCTCGCGAGCTCTTCGTCGCTCAAGAGCTCGGGCACGGGCAGCGACACCTCCGCGTGGAGCGCCTCCTGCTCCTTCCGCAACTTGGCGAGCTCCTTCGTCCACTGCTTGTTTTTCTCCTCGTTTTGCTTCCCAGCCTCCGCGAGGTCCTCGATCTTCGCGCAGAGGTCAACCTCGACGTGCTTGATCGCGCCAATCTCCTTCAGCGCGGCGTCTCTCTCCATCGCCGCCGCCGCGAGCTCGGCCGCCTTGGCGTCGCACATCGCCTGAAGCTCCTTCTGCCGCTCCAGAACCTCCATGGCGCCGTCCTCCAACGTCTTAAACGCCTCCTTGACGGCTTTGACATCCTCCGTCAGCTTCGCTCTCTCCGCGGTCGCGTCCTCGATCGCCTTCATCAGACGCGCGGTCGCCTTGGCGTGGCTCGCCGCGGTCGCGCGCTTCTCCACGCAGCTCTCCTCCGCGGCGGCGATCCCGGCTCTCAGATCCTTCACCAGCGCGCGTTGCTTTTTCAGCTTTTCGCCGCCGACGTCGTCCATCTTCTTTTGCAGCGCCTCGCACCGCGCTCGCGTCTCCGCGGCGTCTTCCTGCACCGACGCGTACGCCGCGCTCGTGTCCTCGACTTCTTTCTTCAGTCTCTTGAGCTCCGCGGCGTCCTCCTTCGTCGTCTTCGCGTCGTTCTCGAGTTCGATGAGGCGGCCGTTCAAGTCGCTCGCGCGTTCGATCGCGGCTTCGTGCTCCGCCTTGAGCTTGGGAAGGAGCCGCTCGATCTTCGCGATCGCTTGCTCCGCCTCCTTGGCTTCTTTCCCCGCCGCGATCGCCGCGGACCGCGCCTCCTCGTACGTCACGGACGCGGCCTGGAGGTCCTTCTCCGCGACGGCGACCGCCGCCGCAGACTCCTCCGCGTCGTCCGCCGTCGCTGGCGCCGCCGTGCCCGTGCGCATGCGTCCCCCCTTGGGCTTGGACCCGCCGCCGGACATCGTCCCGCTCGTCTCGATGAGCTGCCCGGCGAGCGTCACGACGCGCTTGCGTCCGGACTTGCCCTCGTACGCAATCTTCGACGCGGCGTCGAGGTCGTCCGCGACCGCGGTGTCGCGAACGCCGTAGTAAAAGGCAACCGCGAGCCGCGGCTCCGCGGGTTTGATCAAATCCATCAACCGCGGCGCCGCGCCCTTCTCCGCGGCGGCAAAGGCTGCAGCCTCGCGCATGCGCCCTTCCAGCGCCTTTTGCTTCTCGAGGATCAAAAACGTCGCGACGCCGAGGTTATTCGCGCGCAGATGCGCGACGCACGCCTGCGCGTCCGCGGTCGTCTCGACGACGATGTAATCCAACGCCGCGCACGCGGTGGAGACGGCGACGTCGTACTTTTTGTCGATGGCGCCGAGGTCGCCGAGCCGCCCCAACACGCCTTTGATCTTCCCTTTGCTCTTCGCGTGCATCAGCGCGGAGACGATGACGGACTTGGACCTCTCCTGGTCCGCCGCCGATCGCTTCTGCTCGAGCTTGCCGCGAATCTCTCGCGTGGTTTCGTTCGCGAGCTTCTCTCGCGCGCGCGCCGCGGACTCCGCCTCGCGTCGCTCCGCCGCTCTGGACTTTTCCGACGCGAGGTCGCTCGCGGCGTCGGACATCTCTTCCTCCTTCTTCGCCGCGAGCGCGTTCGCTTTCTCGACGCCCTCCTTGGCATCCTCGTACCTCTTCCGCGCGTCTTCCTTCGCGTTCACGAGGAGATCGCGCTCCGTGACGGCGACGTCCATCGCCGCCTTGGCGTCGGCGATTTTCCCCTCCCACGGCGTCAACGCCGCCCGCGCCGCCTCGAGCTCCGCGCCGATCGTCGCCATCTCTCCCTTCAAACTCTCGAGCACGGCGTCCAGCGCGGTCTCCTCCTTCGCGACGCGCTCTTCCAGCTGCGCCTTCTTGGACTCGAGCTCCGGGACTTCGCGCTCGATCGCCTCCACCTCCGCGGCCATGTCCGTCTGTTTCTTGGCGTCCTTGACGAGCTTCTCGTCGAGCTTCTTCGCGCGCTGCTTCATGTCCTTCAAGTCCTCGCGGTGCTTGATGTCCTTGCGCTCAAACTCCGCGAACGCTCTCGTCGCGTCGTCGAGCCGCGCTCTCAGCTCCCCGAGCGCTTTCGCGTGCTCCCCGTGCGCGCGCTCCAACGCCTCGGCGCCCGCCGTCGTTTCCTTCGCTTTTTCTCTCTCCTCGGCGAGCGTCGCCTCGAGCGCCGCCTTCTTCTCCGCGATCGCCGCCATCTGCGTCCGCGCGTCGAGCTCGAAGACTTGGTACATCACGCTGCGCGTCCTGACGAGCTCGCGCTCTTTCGCCATGAACGCCTCCGCCTCCGCTTTCGCGCCGGCGAGGCCGTCGCGTTCTTTTTCGACGAGTTTGAGTCGGTTCGCTTGGCCGCCGCGCTTCTCGTTGAGATCCTCGAGCGACTTCGCCTTCTCCTCGATGCTCTCGACGTACTGGTTCGTCCCGATGATGTCCTCGAGGTACTCCAGCAGCCCCTCGTCGTTCGGCGTCTGCGCTTTCGGCTTCATCATCGAGATTTGTTCAACCTCGCCCTGAAGGATGAGGAATCGGTTGTTGTTCAGGTCGACGCCGTGCGCCTTGAGGAGATTCGTGACCTCCGTGAAGTTGGACGTCTTCGCGTCGATGAAGTACTTGGACGTGTTGTTCTTGTACGCCTCGCGCGCGATGATGAAGTCTGAGTTCGGGATCGCCTCGAAGTCTTCGCCTTCCTGTTGGATGTCGAGGAAGGAGGCGCGAGGGGGAAGGGAGGGTTCGACGAGTTGAGATTGAGATGAGATTTCGCGTCGGTCGTCGGGCGGACGGGCGGAAGATGCTGAATTCGCGGAGGAGGAGGGCGGGGACGACGCCGCGGTTCGCGACGCCGCGCGGAACCTCGCGAGCGCGACGACGGACGGACGCGGACGTCCTCGCGCGCCGTCGCCCGCGGGTCGGCTCGAGTCCACGCGTCGTTCGTCGTCCGCTCGCTCGCGCGTTCCGAGCCGTCTCCGCCGAAACGCGCGTTCGGGACGGGACGCGCCTTGTCGACGATCTCGTGGAAGTGCACCTCCACGCGCGCGTACTCCAAGTTCCTGAAGTCCGTGCTGTTGTGGATGAGCTCGGAGACCTTGTTCAGCCTGAGCTGCTTCGCGCGCTTGCCGAACACGAAGAGCATCGCGTCGATGACGTTGCTCTTCCCCGAGCCGTTCGGGCCGACGACGGAGGAGAAGGATTTGTGAAACGGGCCGACGTGCTGCGCGCCCGCGTAGGACTTGAAGTTCTCGAGCACCATCTTCTTGATGACGAGGCGCTTCTTCGGCGCGTCGGGGTTGACGTCATCGTGAGCCATGACGACCGAGCGACGCTTCTGCGCGGGGTCTGCGCGGGGTAAGGCGCCGGCGCAGCGCGTGTCTGCGCGTCGTCCGCGGGACGTGTCGTGGTTTGTTTCGTTTCTTTCCCCCCGCTGCGATACAAACGGCCGGCTCGCCGGCTCGCCGGATCGATCGGCCGTTTCAGTGTTCATCGGTCATTTGAAAGGCGCCGCGATCAAATATTGAAACCGAGGGGTGGGTGAAAAACTCCCTGAAAACTCCTTTCGTTTCGAGCGCACCTCATCAGCGCTTTCGTGGCGCGTCGTCGGAGGGAGACGGGGAGGCGCGACGCGCGCGGCGGCGGCGCGCGAGATCGAATGGCGCACCTCGCGGCGGCGTCCGCGCGTGCGGGATGGACGACGCATCGCGCGCGGCGGCCCGGCGGCGTCGCGATCGCGCGCGTCCGCGGCGTCCCCGCCCCCGCGTCGCGGCGGACGGCGCGGCAGATCCCGCCGCGCGCGCGGGGCGGGCGCGACGAGCGTGGGGCGCGGGTCCGGCCCCGCGCGCGCGCGACGTCGCGCGTCTCGTCCTCACGCGACGTTTGCGGCGACGCGGAGGACGTCGTCGCGAAGACGAAGACGAAGACGATCGCGGCGGAGGACGCGCGGCGAAAGGTGCGGCACGCGTCGACGGTCACCGGGGCGTACATCGCGGCCGTCGGCGCGTGCCTTCTCGTCGCGCCGGTGCGAAGCTTCTCCGTGCTGTTCGACGCCTCGTCGATCGCGACGCACTGGATTCGCGTCTTCGGCGTGCTGTGCGTGACGTTCGGAGTGTACTATCTCGACACCGCGAGGGGGGACGGCGGCGGCGGCGGCGGCGGCGGCGGCGGCGGCGCGGCGATGTCATTTTATCGAGCCACCGTGCGCGGCAGGGCGTTCGTCGCGCTCGCGCTCGCGTCGATCGCGATGACGACGCCGTCCGCGCGAGTTGGGCTCTCACTGTTAGCGTTCGTGAACGCGGTGAGCGCGGGGGTGATGCAGCGCGCGCTGCGCGTCGCGGACGCGGCGGCGGCGGCGGCGGGCGAAGGGAACGGTGAGACAAGAGCGGTATCATATTAATATCCTCTCTGTAATAGGAGAGACATTTAGACTAGTAGATAGCGTCGTGTGTGAGTGTGATAGGTGGGTCGTCCGCGAGCACCGCGCGCGCCTTATCCCACAGGTCTGGATCCAACGCCGCGTCCCACTCCGGCGCGAGCGGCGGGAAGACGTGGAGCGCGGGCGCGGGCGCGGGCGCGGGCGGAGAACGCGGAGACGGGAGGGAAGGAGAAGCAGAAGCTCGGGTTTCTTCAGAAGTACTACCACAAGGGGGCGTTTTTCCAGGAAGCCGCGGACGATCCGGCGAGCTCGATGGGGACGGACGACATCTACAAGCGCGACTTCAACCAGGCCACGGGCGCGGACAAGGTGGACAAGAGCGCGCTGCCGAAGGCGATGCAGGTCAGGGGCGACGCGTTCGGGAAGATTGGACGGACGAAGTGGACGCACCTCAGCGCGGAGGACACGACGTTCGCGGGCGGGGACAACGTGTGGGCGGACGCGCGGAACAAGAGGGTGGGCGAACTGGCGGAGAAGGGCGCGGGGCGGAAGCAGGAGTTTCAAAAGCCGAAACGGATCGACAAGTAGGCGAACGGCGAGTCGAGTCGGTCGCTTATTTTATTCAGATCGCGTCATCGCGTTCATTCGTTACATCATACTCTATGTATGTGTTCTTCCGTACTGTTGCTCATTTTATTCAGAATTCAGATCGCGTCATCGCGTCATCGCGTCCACGTACACGTCGTGTTCGTACTCGTTTCGCTGTCGTCAGTTTTTCTTCATCTCATTTATTCGCTGTCGCTGTCGCAGAGATCGATGCACGTCTGTCCCGCTCCCGCAGTAGTCGCGTTGTCGGACAAACGGAATACCGTAGGGCGGTCGGGAGTACCGGTTCGATGTTCCCAGATGAGGGAAGATTTCTTCTTGTACTTTCTGACGCACTTCGACTGTTGGAAATTCTTGAATGTCGTGAGGTTCGCGAACCCGCGTTCCTCCATGCGGTCGTAAATCTCCTTGAGTGTCATCCACCTCCCCCGATTCTCCGTCAGGATCGCTTCGAGCTCGTCATTCAACGTCGTCACAGCCTCCCAACGTTTCTCCGCATTTTTCTTCCCGCGCGCGACGTTTTGCGCCCGCTGGCGCTCCAGCTTGGCACGGTCGGGCTCCGTCAGCGTGTCCGCCTCAGAGAGCCGCTTGTACTCCGCGGCCTTAGCCTTCCCGCCTTTCTTCCCGCCGCGGCTGCGCGCGTCCCGCACGCGCTCAAGCTTGGCACGGTCGGGCTCCGTCAGCGTGTCCGCCTCAGAGAGCCGCTTGTACTCCGCGCCGGCAGTCGCACCTCCGCGTGCGCACGACGCGCGCAGGTACGCGAGGTCGGCGGCGGCCTCCTCGGTGATCGTCTCCGCCGCCTCCGCCTCCGCGAGATACTTCCACCGCGCGGCGGTAGTCGCACCTCCGCGTGCCGATCCGCGTGCCGCGCACGCGCGCAGGTACGCGAGGTAGTCCCTGTCTTTCATCCCGATAGTCCCCGCCTCCTCATCCGCCAAGAGCTGCCGCCACTTCTCGCGGGTCATCTGACCACCGAGGTGGCAGCACGCGAGCAGGTACGTGAGCTCCTCCGCGTCTTCGTCGCTGATCGTGCCGTTCTCCGCCTCCTCCTGCAGCCGCCGCCACTTCTCGCGGGTCATCTGACCACCGAGGTGGCAGCACGCGAGCAGGTACGTGAGCTCCTCCGCGTCTTCGTCGCTGATAGTGCCGTTCTCCGCCTCCTCCTGCAGCCGCCGCCACTTCTCGCGGGTCATCTGACCACCGAGGTGGCAGCACACGAGCAGGTACGTGAGCTCCTCCGCGTCTTCGTCGCTGATCGTGCCGTTCTCCGCCTCCTCCTGCAGCCGCCGCCACTTCTCCTTCGTGGTTCGCCCTCCCCGTGCCGCGCACGCGCGCAGGTACGCGAGGTAGTCCCTGTCTTTCATCCCGATAGTCCCCGCCTCCTCATCCGCCAAGAGCTGCCGCCACTTCTCGCGGGTCATCTGACCACCGAGGTGGCAGCACGCGAGCAGGTACGTGAGCTCCTCCGCGTCTTCGTCGCTGATCGTGCCGTTCTCCGCCTCCTCCTGCAGCCGCCGCCACTTCTCCTTCGTGGTTCGCCCTCCCCGAACGCACGGCACCGTCCACTCCGCGCCGTCGCCGTCGACCGTGACGCGTCGTCCCGCCGCCGCCGGGTCCACATTGTGCAGACAGAAAAGGCTGTCGCACATGGCGATGGGCGGCCTTCGAGCGATGGCCCGCTCGAAGTTGGCGCCCGCGAGGAGAGAGGCGTAGATGCGCTCGGCGTCCCAGAACCTCGAGTTCGGCCCACACAGGGTCGAGCCCGTATGCAGGTCAAAGTACACGAAGAACGGGAGCAGCCCTTTCCTCACCGCGAGGTGACCACCCCACGGGGTGGCAGAACTCTCCGGGACCGCCTGCGCCAGAACCGGGTCGAAGCCGAGCGCGACGTAGAAGTGGGGTGGAAAAGCCACCAGGTCCACGTCGTTGAGCTCGAAGTAGCGGACGGCGCCGCGGACGTTGTCCGCGCCGCGAACGCGAAGCACGTCGACGTGTTCGTTTTCGCGGATCGCGACGCCGTACGTCGCGGGCGCGAACGCGTCGATGAGGAAGTTGTACCGCTTGGGTACAGCCAGCGACCCGTCGGGCTTGAGGGGCTCAGGCTCATCAGCTCGGGTGGTGTGCCCGGGCACGGCGTTGATGGTCCGTGGCGGCGGCGGACGCGCGTCCTCCGCCGTCTCGGCGGTGACGCCGTGCACCGTCCTGCGAAAGAGGAAAAGCGCCGTCAGCGTCGAGTACGCGAGAGGGGGGAGAGGAAGGTCATCGCGCTCGCCGGAGAAGGGAAGGGAAATGAAGTTCACGTACGCTGAGAACATCATGGAGACTTGCTGCGTAAAGCATGGCTCGTCGTGCTTACGAGCCATGTGCCTCCACGAGGTGGGCGCCAACCGCTCCATCGCGTCCGCCGAATTAACCATCAACGCGTCGGACTGCCTCTGCCAGGACGAGACGTCCAACTCGCGCGCGCCGTTCTCCTGGCGCAAGGAAGCGCCCGGGTCGGAGTTGACACATTGGAGGTGTCCCTTCCGCAGCATTTCTGCCCCTTTCCTGCTCAGCTCGTCCGCGGCATCGTTCATCGGCGGCGTTGGCTTTCCCTCCATGATCATGGAGAGCCGCTCGCGCACAGCTTGATCCAACCCCTCATAAGCCTTCCCTTCCTCCTTGGCGAGGGCGCACACGGCGCGCGCGAGCGCGTCGACATGGGGGTCCTCTCGAGGCTCGAAGCAGAGGGGCGAGTCCGGCGAGGAGGGGCGCGGGGGTCGTTCGGGTCCCCCATCGACGCGGACCTTGTGGAGGCGGCGGGGCAGATCTGCCCTCGCGCTCTCGTCGGGCGTGGCGACGGACGCGCGCGTCTGCTTGGCGTCGCCGCGCTCGCGCGTGTGCGTCGCGTCGCCCGTGTCCTTCCGCGATACCTTCGGCATCTGGCGCGTCGCGTTCGAGGTGCGCGCGCCAGACAATGCAACAGTGCCACGATTTGCGCGATTGGGCACACATTGGGGTGCACACATTTTTTTTTTAAATCAAGTGACCGTTGACCGGTCAAATACTGTGTGTCCAATCGACTACTGAGCGCCGCGAGGGCACCCCTCCCGCGAGAGCCACAGGAGGACGCCGACGTCGCCCAAAGCCTTCGCGCGCTCCCCCGCCGCCACCCACAGCAGCTCGTCCCACCCGCGGCCGTCCTCTTTCACGAACCGAAGCACGTCGAGATGCCCCAACCGCGCCGCCGCGGCCCCCGCGAGCGGGTGCGGCGCGAAGTTCCCGGACCGCGTGCCCCACTCGAACACCTCCGCGCGGCCGTTGACGGCGGCGCACAGGCTCGCGGCTTCGCGGTCGAACTCCCACACGCGCGCGTAGTCCGCGTACCCTGACGTTTCGGACCTTCGCGGGTCGATCTCGCGGAAGAAGAACAAGACCATCAGCGCGTCGAGGTGACCCCCGCGTGTCGCGCTCTTCGCCGCGTCCTCGGAGACGTCGCACCCGCCGGCGACGGCGTATCGCAGCGTCTCGACCGCGCCCGTCGCCGCCGCGGCGTCCGTCGCGCGCGCGTCCCACGGCGCGAGCGCGACCTCTCTGAGCCACCGCAGCGCGTGCAGGTGCCCGCCGCGCGCGGCGCCCTCGCACGATGCCGCTTCGAACGCGACCCCGAGCGCGTCGCGGAGAAAGCGCAGGGTCTCCGTCTTCCCGCTTCCCGCCGCGGCGACGCCGGCGGCGGCGAGCGCGGCGGCGGTGACGAGTCGGCGAAGGGTCGCGTCGAGCGCGTACCGAAACGTCGCGAGGTCGCCGCCGCCCGCCGCGCGCACGACGACGTCCTCGGTCTCGATGGGCTCGCGGCGGTGCTCGACGAGGTACCTCAGCGCGCGGAGCGACGCGCCGTCGCGGACGCCGCCGGACGCGGCTTCCGCGCAGACGTCCACCGCCGGCGCGTTCAGACGCGTGCGCGGGCAACGCGCGTCGAGCGCGAATCGAAGCGCGGGGATGGACGCCGCGCGCGCCGCCGCCGCGAGCGTGTTGCCGTCCCACGGGCATCCGTTCGCGCGCGCGAATCGCAGGAACTCGACGTTTCCGTCCGCGGCGGCGACCGCGCAGACGTCGCCGGCGGCGAGCCAGACCGAGCCGAGTGGGGAGGTCGGGATATTCTCGTGAGCGCGCGGCGCGCATAATCCAGAATCCGGCCCGACCAATGACCCACGCGCGTGAGTGTCGGTTAAATAAGGTAAATGAGGTAATCCGGGGTCCGAGATCGCGCGTCCGTCGGTCTCCCGTCGCGTCTCGCGCGCTCCCGCGGCGCGCGCGTCGTCGGCGGCGCACCGAAGCATGATGTCGACGGCATCCGCGGTCGACCGCGATTCCGAGCTCGCTGACGAGCTCGCGTCCTTCGTCGGCGTCGTCGAGTCAAAAGACCCGCGCGCATTTCCCTCGTCCGCCATGTTGTCTGTGGTAACGACGGTAACGACATTCTTGTTCATTCGGCGGTCGCCGAGCGGCCGACGAGGGGTGATCTCGCGCGCGAACCGCGACGCGAAGCTCCGCGCGATACGCGACGCGCGGGCTGATTTCCCGTGTTCTTCCGCGACCGTTCGCGCGCGTGAGTGTTCGCAGTGCGCGCGCGAGTGTTCGTTCGTAAGGTTTTATGCGGCTGGCGCGGGAGTTGTTCAGGACCGCATTAACCAATACCAACACCGCATTAACCCGCGGATATTTATTATCCACCTCAAACGTCGATCTCTGACTACAGACGCAGCACTGAAGACGTGGCCGGATGTCCTCTCCGCATCAGCCCGCGAAATTTCAGAATGTACTGTATGAGCATTTAGTTTGCATAATATTAAGTCCCGCTCCTCTCAACTCGCACGATACCAGCAACTCGCGAAACGTCAGAATGTACTGTATGAGCATTTAGTCTGCATAATATTAACTCCCGCTCCTCTCAACTCGCACGATACCAGCAACTCTCTTCGATCGCGCGAGAACAGCCGACTCCAGGCGCGCGGGAGGGCGCGCGGAACGCGCTCGCGGGATGTTCGCGCGCGGTCCGTCCCCTCGATCGCGACGTCGCCTCGAGTCGTGTTCGCGCGGCCGCGCGCGCTCGACGCATCGTCGTCAGCCCAAGAGGCCGTCGCCGTCGCCGTCTCATCGTCAGCCCAAGAGGCCGTCGCCGTCGCCGCCGCCGTCGCCGCCTTCGCCTTCGCCTTCGCCTTCGCCGCCGCCGCTCTTCTTCTCCGCCGGGTCGAGACTCCCTCGCGTCGCGCGAAGCTTCCGCTTCAGCGCGTCGTACCGCCTCTGATCGCTCGCGCTGACGCTCGGCTGGACGCGTTCAAACGCCTCGGCGAAGTGCGCGCGCGTCACCTCCGGCGGCGGCGGCGGCGCGTCCTCGCCCGCCGTCGCCGTCGCCGTCGCCGTCGCCGTCGCGTCGTCTTCTTCGCCGCCGCGCGACCCCCCTTTACCTCCTTTACCACCGCGAGCGAGCTTGCGCGCTTCCTCGCGCTTGACGTCCCACGCCGTCGCGATCTCGAGGTTGCCCTTCAACGCCGCGACGCACGCCTCGCGGACGAGCGACGCGAGGTCCGCGCCGCTGAAGCCGTCGCACCGCGGCGAGCGCGCGATGGCGTCCACGTCCACCTCCTTCGCGAGCGGCGTCTTCCTCGTCAGCGTCCGCAGGATGGCGACGCGGCCGTCCGGTGGCGGCAGCGGGACGTACAGAAGCTTGTCTAACCTCCCGGGGCGCAGCATCGCGGGGTCGATCATGTCCGGTCGGTTCGTCGCGGCGATGACGAACGTCGCGCTCCTCGCCTCCAAGCCGTCCATCTCCGTGAGGAGCTGGTTCACGACGCGCTCGCTCGCTTGGTTCCCCCCGTCGTTCCCGCGGCGCGGCGCGAGGGAGTCGAGCTCGTCGAAGAACAGCACGCACGGCGCCGCGGATCGCGCGCGTTGGAACAGCGTCCGCACCGCGCGTTCGCTCTCTCCGACGTACTTGTTCAACAGCTCCGGTCCTTTGATGGATATGAAGTTCGCCTTCGCCGCGCACGCGGTCGCCTTCGCGACGAGCGTCTTGCCGCACCCGGGCGGGCCGTATAGCAACACCCCGGTGCTGACCGCGAGGCCCATGGCTTGAAACCGCGCCGGATGCGCGATCGGCTCGACGACGCTGAACGCGAGCTCCTCGCGGACTTCGGTCAGCGACCCGACGTCGTCCCACGTCACCTCCGGCGTCGTCGTGAAACCCTCGCGCTGCGCGGACGGTTGCACGCGCGTCAGAGCCTTCTCGAAGTCATCCGTGGTGATGGATAAGTTTGAGAGCTCGCTCGCGTCGAACGGCGTTCGGTCCGCGAGTCGTCCGGCGCCGAGGAGCGACGCCCGCGCGGCGATCTCGGCGCCGGCGGCGTTCTCCGACGCGTCCGACACATGCTTGTCGTCCGACACATGCTTGTCCGACATATGCTTGAATATCCGCGCGACCGCGAGCGCGGCAGCCTCCTTCGCGAGCGCGCTGAGATCCGCGCCGACGTACCCCGCGGTCTTTCTCGCGATGTCGACCAGGTCCAACCCGCCCTCCAGCCTCAGGGTCGTTCCATACAAAGCGATGTCGGGGTGGAGTTCATAGGCGTCAGTTGGAGTTGAAAGGCGTCGAGGTGTGTCGGGATTGAAAGCGAGGGACCCTGGGCGGAGAGAGACGACGGCAAAAGTCCTTAAGAAACGGCGTTCACCACGCCAACGCGGTCGTATGGGAACCAGTGTATAGAACGCACCTCAGCTTTTTCGCCTGCACCGCGAGGATGCGCGCGCGCGCGGCTTCGTCGGGAACCCCGAGCATGATCTCGCGATCGAAACGACCCGCGCGGCGCAGCGCCGCGTCCATCCCGTCCGGGCGATTCGTCGCGCCGATGACGGTGACGTGCCCCTTGATCGGCTCCGGGCCGCCGGCGTAGTCGTCGTCGAGACGCTCGCCAGGGTCCTCGCCGATTCCGCCGCCCGATGATGTCACGCGCGCGGCGCCGTCGATTAAATTATCCATCGACGCGAGCAACTGCGCGACGATGCGGCTCTCCATCTGCCTCGCCGCGCTGTCTCGCTTCGGAACGATCGCGTCGATCTCGTCTATGAACACGATCGACGGCGCCGCCTGGGCCGCCGCCGCGAACAGCTGTCGAATCTTCGCCTCGCTCTCCCCGCTGACGCCGGCGACGATCTCCGTCGCCGCGATGCTAAAGAACGGCACCCCCGCCTCCCGCGCGATGGCGTGCGCGAGCGTCGTCTTCCCGCATCCCGGGGGCCCGTGAAGCAGAACCCCGCGCGGCGGGTCCACGCCGAGCCACCCGTACAGCTCCGGGTGCGTCAGCGGGCACAGTATCAGCTCTCTGATCGCGGTCAGGCTCTCCTCGATCCCGCCGAGGTCTTCGAGGCGGACGTCGCGCGGCGTCGACGGCGTCGTCATCGCGACGTCCTTGCCGCCTCCTCCGGATCCGTCGCCGAACCCGAACGGGTCGTCCACCTGCGCGCCGTTTCCGTTCCTTCCGCCGGGTCGGTACTTCTTCCCGCCGGGGAGCGCGTCCTCGATGAAGTCGTGGTCTCCGTCGAAATCGTTCCCGTTCCCGTTCCAGCCGCCGCCGCGCTTGCGTTTCAAACGCTCCTTCTTCGCGCTCCGCCTCCCTCGTCGCGTCCGCGAGTCCTCCGCTTGTTTCAAACGCGCCGCGCGCGCGGTCGCGACCGCGGCGAGGTGCCCCGCCTCCGCGGCGCTCATCAACGGCGGCGGCGGCGTCGCGGCGGCGTCCTTATCCTTCCTCGCGTCGCCAGCCGCCGCCGCCGCGCCGCCGCCGAGCGCTCGCCGCGACGCGGCGGCGACCAGGTGCGGCGCCGCGAACGCCGCGCCGTCTTTCTCCTTCTCCTTCTCCTCCGTCTTAGCGCTGAGCTTATCGCTGCTGTTCTCGCGCGACGTGCTGTACAGCTTCGCGAGGGTGGTGTTCATGGCGTCGCGCGTGCCGACGAGGTCGTCGGCGTCCGCGGCGCCGTCGTCGACGGAGATCGATTCCGATTCCGAATCCGAATCGTCGTCGTCGTCGTCCTCCTCCTCCTCCTCGCCGCTGTCCTCCTCCTCCTCCTCCTCCTCCTCCTCCTCGTCGTCGTCGTCGCCCTCGCCTGCCATCTTCAGGCCTCGCGCCGAGAGGTGCGCGGCCTCGAGCGCGTCGATGTCGTTTCCGCTCGTCGTCGTCGTCGTCGTCGCGGGCGCCGCGTCGCCGCCGCCGCCGCCCGCGCCCCCCCCTCTCCCCGCGGCGGCGACGCGCTCCTCCCCGCGCCTCTGCACCTCCTCGCACGCGCGCTCGACCGCCCTGCGGAACACGAGCGCGGGCTTCCGCTGGTACTCGCGGTACCGCGCCCGCAGGTGCTCGCACACGTCGTCGACGCTCCGCGCGTCGTGACGCTCTAGGAATTCGCGGACGCGCGGCACGAGCGCGGCGTCGCACCCGACGTAGCCGCCGCCGCCGCCGCCGCCGCCGCGCGGGCCCGCGGGGGACTTGGACCGCGACGCCTTGCCCTTGAACTTGGGCATCGTCCGCGACGACGCGCGCGCGGGGCAATGCCGCGCGACGGCCGAGGGGCGGCGGCGGCGAGCCTTTTTCAGTGCCGTCTTAAAGTCCGATCAAACCGATGAAAATTGGTATCAAGTTGAAAGGCTTTGCGGTCAAATGTTGAGACCGTGGGGTGGGTGAAAAATAAGTGACGAGCACGCGGGTTGCCCTCTCTCGGACGCGTCGCGGCGGGGAGCATCCCCGGGCGGGGAGGCGAAACGGAGGCCAGGATACGCGTCGGGCTGGTCGACGAATCAGGGCGCGACAGATCAGCTCGGGGGGGAAGAATCCTTGGACGACCCGCGCGACCTCCCGTACACCACTGCACGTGTTGGTAGTTCCGAGGTTGCCGCTTCGCGCCGCCGCCGCCGCCGCCGCCGCACTCCCCCGAACGCGGCCGCACGCGCGCGCATTCCACGCCCGCCCCCGCCGCGCTCTCCCGCACCCCCGTCGCCCGCCGCGCGTCTCGCGCCTCCGCGATATGCCGACCTCGCGCGCGCTCGCGCGCGCGCTCGCGCTCGCACTTTTCCACGTCGTTGCCCTCGTTACCGTCGTCGCCGCGCAGCCCGCGACGCCGTGCGAAGAAGGCGGTGCGCGTCGCGTCGCGTCGCGTCGCCCCTCGCGTCGCCCCCCGCCTCTCGATCGCTCTCCCGCCCCTCTCTCTCCCCGCGCGAGAGGCCTCGCCGTGACGACGACGACGCGCGCCGTCCGCCCCGCCCCGCCCTTCTTTTCTTATTTCGTTCCTAACCTTTTTTTCCATTGCCGGCGCGACACGCAGGGACCGCGTGCTTATGGAAAGAATACCTCGACGCCGCGCCCGACGCCGCGGCGGTCGCCTCCGACGCGACCGGCGGCGGCGCCCCCGCGCGGAACGTCCCCCCGCCGGATAACTCCGCGGACCTCCCGAAGTGCGACGACGGGCAGTGGTTGAAGAACCCCGACGGCGGGCGCCCGGACAAGCGACGGTTCGACAACGCCACGGGACGCGCGATAGCGGACCCCACTATCGACGGCGACGATACAGTCGCCTTCGGAAAGTACAAGTACTGGCCCGACTGCAACGACTTCGAGACGGACATCCACACGACGTGCGCGGAGCTCAACGAGCCCGCGTGCCCGTACAAACCCCGCGAGGCCTCCTCGATCCTGTGCGAGTGGAAGGCGAAGGGCGCGACGAACTGGATGGTAGACACGACGTTCAACGGCGCGCCCGTCGGCGATGCGAGCCGCTCAAGCTCCGCGAACAAAGGCGCTGCCGGTGACTGGCTTCGCATGGCGTTCCACGACTCCGGGCAGTTCTTCCTGGACGGCAAGCACGGCAGCGGCGACGACGCGAGCTTGTGGTACGAGGTGAACAAGGACGCGACGTCGCCGATGTTCCGCGCGAATTTCGAGATGGCCGCGCAGACGTTCGACACGCGGAAAAAAGTGTTTCGACCGCTGAACCGATGCGGCGCGAAACCCGAAGAGGGGTGCCGGTTCCCGTGCGAGCACATCTGCGAGTACAAAGACACGAGCACGACGTTCGCGCACTTCAACCCGCAGACCGGCAGCGTGGAGGTGTCCAGCGCGTCGGACTGCTACGGCGGCTTCAGCGGCTCCGACGAGGCGGCGGCGGCGGAGGAGAAATACGCCGCCGGAGACGAGGCGGCCGCCGCCGTCGAGACCGTGCGATCCGCGCGCGGCGGCGGGGACGTTCTCGCGGCGCCGCGTCCGCGCGGCGGCGGCGGCGGCGACGCGGCGACTGCGGCGTCCCGGCCGTCGTCCAGGACGACCCCCGTGGCTCGCCCGACGACGACGACGCGCGGCGGCGACGGCGTCGCGGCGCGACTCGCGTCGCGCGACTCGCCCGGACGAAGCTTGCTCGAGGCGGCCACCCGCGCGGACGGGCGAACGTTCAGGGACCACCATGATTCGCACGAGACTACTCACGTCGACCCGGGCCTTCCCGACCCGTTCGCGAGCTGGGTCGACAAGTGGGACCCGTACGCGCGCTGGCGCCCGGGAGGGTCGCTGAACCTATCCCCGACGAAGTGCTACAATCGGTGCATGAAGCGGTGCAACAACACGATGACGCGCCAAGCGCAGAGAAAAGATCCGACGTACAACTCCACCTCGGGCTCCGTCTTGTGCGTCGTGTCCATGTCGGACTCGATTCAGTACGCCGCGGCCGCCGCGGTCGAAGTCACGGGCGGGCCGAAGGTTCTGAAGCACATCAAGCCCGGTCGGTGCGACGCGACGACGCTGGACGCGACGTTCGGGCTGCCGTCGCCGCACACGCAGTCGGTCAAGGACATGACCACGCAGATTCCGTTCTTCAAACCGTGCCACTGCGGCGGCTCGGAGCTGCTCACGACGTTGAGCGGCTCGCACACGCTCGGGCACGCGCACTCGCGAATGATCAACCAAGGTGCGTTCTATACAAACGTTTTTCACCCATCGATCGGTTTCACCACTTGATCGCGTCACTTTTCAACTGACCGGTAAACTTTTTTTGTATGGAACGACCCCAAGAGTGCGAAAACCTCATCCCCGGCAGCACGGAGCGCTCGCGGAACATGGACGTCACGCCGTTCACGTTCGACAACGAGTACTGGAAAGCGCTCGTGACGGCGAAGTGTCCCGGGCGCGCGGGGAGCTGGAGGCGCGTCGAGATGCACAACTACCCGAGCTGCACGTCGCCGTACCTCACGGACGACTGGGCGAAATCGCAGAGCTTCACGAACGCCACCGGCTTGTTCACCAGCGAAACCGAATTCCCCGACAACGCGACGCTTCAAGCCATCTACAACGACTCGCTGTTCTACACGACCCCGGCGGCCGACGTCGCGACCTGCGTGAACGTGACGTCGTCGAACGAAAACACGTGCTCCTCGACCGCGTGCGCCGGCGCGGGCTGCGGCACCCTGAAAGACGTCGCCGGGTGCTCGTGCGATACGTGCGGCCACGACCCGCTCGCGCACTGCACCGCGAAGAGCACGTGCGGGACGTTCCACAGCGACCAGATGCTGTGGGCGACGCGGGAGACGAGCCGGCAGGTGCAACTCTACGCGAACGACCAGGAGGCGTTCTTCAAGGACTGGGTGAACGCGCACGTTCGGATGGCGCACGTCGGGTGCGAATCCTGCGGCGTCGGGTCGCACGCGGACGCGGACCCGTGCGGCTCCGAGGGTCCCGCGGGCCACGGGCATCATTTTTTCAAGGGGTAAGATGGATGAAGGAAAGGAAGAGATGCACGAACGAAAGAACGCACGCACGCACGAACGAACGAGAAGAAGACAAAGTCAGAGCACGAACGCGACGAACGATGTTCGCAGCTGGGAGCGCGAAACGCGCGAGCCCCCGCGTTGATGTGATAGAGCAAGAACGCGACGAACGATGTTCGCAGCTGGGAGCGCGAAACGCGCGAGCCCCCGCGTTGATGTGATAGAGCAAGAACGCGACGAACGATGTTCGCAGCTGGGAGCGCGAAACACGCGAGCCCCCCCGTTGATGTGATTTTCCCGCGGCTCGAGAAAAAGAACCAACCGAGCGCGGAGGCGCCGAGCGCTAGAATGTGATGATGATCTACGGAAAAGTACAAGGAAACGAGCTCTAGCCCTGCGCGCGCGCGCTCTCCGCGTCTTTGATCGCGCTCGAGGACGCTTTCGACGCGGCTTTCACCGCGCCTCGGGAGCCGCGATCGGAGGACCCGGCGAACCAGCCGCCGCGCGCGCACAACTCGTGGAAAAACACCCCGTCGGCGTCCTTCTTCGCCGCCAGCTTCGTAACGCTCTTCCGTCGACCGTTTCCCTTCCCCTCGCGCTCTTCCGCCTTCGCGTTCGCCCTCGCGATCTCTATCTCCATCGAACGACGCGCCGACCCTCTCCACGCGCCGCCCACGGACCGCGACGCGACGTCGTCCCTCCCCTCCTCCGCGACCCCGCGCGTTCCCTCTCGCCGCGCGCCGCCAACCTTCTGAGGGCTCGACAGCAAACGCCTCAACCGTTCCGTGTCGTGCCTTCCGAACGCCCCGGTCGCGGGGACGTCCGCGTCCACTAACTCGCCCTTGCGCTTCATCTTCTCCACGGTCCGGAGGATCCCGTCGCGTTTGAGCGTCCGCGCGTCCTCGTCTCGCGCGAACTCGCGACGCCACCGATCGGTGGGCAAAAAAATCTTCCCGCAGTTCGCGCTCGACGCGTTCGGAATCAACGACCGCGCGCCCAAGCCGCGGTACAGCTCGAGCGCGTACCTACCGCACTCGCTCTCCCGCAGCGTCTCTAACGTCCGCGGCATGCGCTCGTCCAGCGCGGCCGCGCGCTCGCTCGGGTGCGGGTGCGTCCGGAGGTACCTCTCGAAGTCGCCGCCGCCGCCGCCGCCGCCGCCGCCGCCGCCGCCGCCGCCGCCGCCGCCGCCGCCTCCTTTCCCTTTCCCTTTCGCGTTCGCTCCGCCGGCGCGCGGAGGGAACGCCCCGCGCCCGCGCGTTTGCGTCGCCGCCCCGCCTCCGCGCGCGGCTTCCTCCTCAGCCTCGAACAACCGCATCACGCGCGCGCCCCCTCTGGGGTCGAAGCACGCCCTGGCGGCGATCTCCGACCCCAACGCGTCCGCCTCTGACTCCATGACTCTGCTGTACGGCAGCGTGAACGCCAGCTCGCTCATCGCCTCCGCGCCCTCGAGCGCCGCGGCGACGACGACGCCGCCCAAAAAGTCCGCGCCGAGCGTCGCGGCGCCGAGCCACAGCAGCGTCTGCGACGCACTCGTTATCACGCCCGTCGTCCACTTCTCCGCGTGATGCCGGCAGAGCGCGTGCGCCATCTCGGGGTCGAGGGTCCACACGAAGCGATGATATCGGGGTGGAGTTCAAAGGCGTCAGATGAAGTTGAAAGGCGTCGCGGGCGGTGATTGAAAGCGAGGGACCCTGGGCGAAGAGACACGCCGGGCGAAGTCCTCGAGGATCGGCGCGCGCCGCGGCGCGGTCGGGGTCGTATGAGAACCGGTGCGACACAGAACGCACCTCGTGCGCCAACACGAACGCGAGCATGCTGTCGTCGCACGCGTCGAGGAGCCCGACGTTCACGAACACGTGCCCGCCGGGCGCGCACCACGCGTTGACCTCGGGGGAGTTCACGACGTGCAGGGACCACCGCGCGCCGGGCTTGAACATCGGATGACGCTCCGCCGCCGCCGCCGCCGCCGCCGCCGCCGCGCCGTCGCCGCCAAACACCGTCCCCGGGTCGAGCCTGTTCACGAGCTTCCACAGCACCGCGGCCGCGCGGACGACCCTCCGGTCGTCCGCGCGGAGATACGACGCGTCGCTCGCGAACGTGGCCGCGAGGATCGCGCGCGTGAGCTCTTCTTCCCGCGCGGCGTCGAAGAACAAAACGCGCTTCCTGCCGCTAAACGGCACCGGCTCGGTGACAGCGCGCGCGCCCGCGGCGACACCGACGCCGACGCCCGCGACGCGCGCGGCGAACCCTCTCGCGTCGCGGCCGAGGACGGCGCGCTTGACCCACGCGCGGAACGACGGCGTCGTCGTCGCGCCGATGACGCGGTTCGCAGCGCGCAGCTTCGCGGAGGAGGCTGCGAGGGAGGCGGCGCCGGCGAGCCCGAGGCGCGCGGCGGCGAGCGCGCCGGCGCCCGCGATGGGCGCGGGCGATCGCGACGGGCGCGAGGGCGCCGCGTGGAAGAGGCGGCTGGCTGCTAGGGGGTGGTGCGACGAGGACGCCCGGCCGGAGGACGAGGCCGGCGACGCCGTCGTCGACGGGATCGCGCCTCGAGACGATGATGATGTTGAACACGACGACGTCGACGACGACGACGGCGCTCGCGCCGACGTCAGCCTCGAGACCCCGCGCGCGCGCGCCTCGCGCGCGAGCCTTTTGGCGAACATCCTCGGGTCCTCGCGGACGGACGCGACGCGGCGCGACGCGGCGTGACGCGGCGGCGCGCGCGACGAGCGGGGGGCTGAGCCGCGCTGCGCTGACACGCGCCGCGCGACATGCAGCGAGCGTTTCTCGGACGGGGGGAACAGCAGAGAACGTTTCTGCGCCGCGACGCGCGCGCATCACATCACGCGCGCGCGCGATGCACGAGCGCGAGACGTACGACGCGGCGACGCCGCCGTTCAAAACCCCCGGGGCGTTCCCTTCCATGCAGAGCCAGAGCTCGTTCGACGTCCACGACGAGAGCTTCGGGGAGTGGAGCGCGACGAAGAAGCACACGCCGACGGACCTTCGCATGAACGTCGGATTCGACGCGACGACGCGCGACGGGTTCGCGCGCGCGCACGGGCTCACCCCGGTCGCGACGGGGGAAGACTCCGCGCGGACGTCCCCGGAGGACTCGTCCAAGAGCAGCGGGTACGGACACGGCGGCGGCGTCACGCCGTGCGCGAACCCCGTGTGCACGCCGGACGCCTCCTCGGAGACGACGTCGGGCGCGGGTCCGAACGCGACGTGCTCCCCGGCGGATCTTCCCGCCGCGCCGCCGCCCGTCGTGGTGTCGCCGTCGAGCACGTTCGCGACGACGCCGGGGCGCGACGACGAAGACCGCGAGAACGACGAGTGCGTCGTCACCACGAAGCGCGCGGACGCGTTCGCGCGGCGACGCCCCCGGGGTCCGGACGGAGGCGGAAACGCGAACGCGACGCCGACGCGCGCGTCGCGCATGCAGCTTCAGACGGCGGCGGCGGCGGTGGAAGCCGGCTACGACGGCGTGCGACGAAGCGTGAAAACCCCGGAAGGGGACGAGTGGGTCACCACCGAGGACATCCGAGCGGTCGTGAAGGCGGTCCCGACCGGGGACGTCGCGCGGGCGTACCTCATGGGCCAGAGGGACGCGATCGAGGCGGCGTTATCCGACGCGTTGCCGCGGCGGGAAGTCCTCGGAAAGTTTGAGGAGAAGACGGACGCGTGCGCCGCGGCGGTGGCCGCGTTGACCGCCGAACTTGGTGCGTTACGATCATCCGTGCACGCCGTCGACGCGCGGACGGGATCTCTCGAGAAGAACGTCAGCGCGCTCGCGCACGGCACCGTGCCCTCCCTCGAACGCGCGCACGGAGAGCTCATCGCGAGAGTGGACGAGATGGAATACAAGCAAGTCGCTCAGGCGCGTTCTCCTCACACTGGTCCCCATACGACCGCGTCGGCGAGGTGGACGCCGATCCTTAAGGACTTTATCTCCCGGCGCATCTCTCCGCCCACCCCTCGGTTTCAATCCCGACACACCTCGACGCCTTTCAACTCCAACTAACGCCTTTCAACTGCACCCCGACGTTCGCTCGTACGGAACGACCCTCAGTCGGGGAAAACCGTGCTCGGCCTGTGCGACGAGCTCGGCGCCGCCGCGGTCCGCGCGTCCATCAACAACGCGTCGCGCATCGACCGCATCGCCGGCGACGTCGCGAAGCGCGTGCTGCACGTCGGACCGGAGGGTGGTGCCGAGGGTGGTGCCACGTCGGACGCCGCCACGTCGGACGCCGCGTTCGACGCGCGTCGCGCCGTCGCCGTCGCCTTCGTCCTCGCCGCGACGGAGCTCGGCTTTCGCGCGCACCGCGCGTCGATTCGACGCGCCCCGGGGGCGATCCGCGCCGCCGCGGGGCCGCTCACTCTCGCCGCGAACGTCGCGCGCGTCGGCTTGTGGGCGTCCGCGGGGTGCGTCGCCGTCGCGAAGGGGAAAGAGCGGTGCTACGCCGCCGCGGACGCCGTCGTGACGGCGTGCGAGGGATCGAAAACGTTTCGACGCGTCGCCGAGTCGGCGCGCGCGGCGGCGGCGGCGACGACTGCGGCGCTGACGACGCTCGGGGCGCGCGCGAGGGCGGCGCTTGAGGAGGGAGAGGGAGAGGGAGAGGGGGATGGTGATGGTGTTGGCGATGCGAACGACGACGGGGGGAAGGAAGGCGGGTTCGGGACGCCCGTCGCGGACGCGTCGAGGTCGCCCGCGGAGGTCAAGATGCGATTCTTCGCGTCGTGAGCCGGTCGCGCGACGGCGACGGCGATGATTGCCATCGCGACGGCGCTCGCGATCGGATCGGACCGCCGCCGCCGCCGCCGCCGCGAGCCGACCGAACGATCGTCGCGGCGTCGGCGAGGCTTCCTAATCTAATTTAAATTCTACGCAGAGACGCCACGAAGTGGACGACACGACGCGACGACGTCTCTTTCGGCCGCGCTTTTAGGCGGGTAGAGCGCCGGCGCGACGTTTCGAGGCCACGAAACTGGCCACGTCATCGTCACTCTCACCATGCGCACGACGACGACGACGCCTTCCGCGCTCGCGCCCTGGGCGCGAGGCGCCCCCATCCCCCGCGCCCGCGCCGCCCGCGCCGCCGTGCGCGCCCGCGCGCCCGCCCTCCTCGCGCGCGCGTCGTCCGAGTCCGAGACGACGACGACGACGTCCTCCGCTTCGACGACCGATCGCGTCACGCTCGGCACCTCCGATCTCTCCGTCGCCGCCACCGGCGTCGGCGCGTGGGCGTGGGGCGACCGAAGCGGGTACTGGGGCGACGACTGGAGAGGCGACCGCGCGCGCAACCTCCGCGCGTACGAGACCCTCCTCGCGGGCGGCGTCGACTTCATCGACACCGCGGAGGTGTACGGGTTCGGGAAGTCCGAAGAGCTCATCGCGGAGTTCGCGCGGTCGACGGCGGGCGACGACGCGCTCGTCGACCCCGTCTTCGCGACGAAGTTCGCGCCGCTGCCGCTGCGGTGGACCGCAAGCGCCGTCCCGGACGCGCTCGAGAAGTCCCTCGCGCGCATGGGGCAGAAGAAGATCGGGCTGTACATGCAGCACTGGCCCGGGTTCGGGATCCAGGACGTCGCCAACGACGCGTTCCTCGAGGGTCTGTGCCTGTGCTACGAGCGAGGCTTGTGCGACGCGGTCGGCGTCTCGAACTTCAACGCGGCGCGCGTCGCGACCGCCGCGAAGAAGTTCGCGTCGCGCGGCGTCCCGTTCGCGTCGAACCAGATCCAGTACTCGCTCTTGTACCGCGACCCGGAGCTGAAGACGGGCGTGGTCCAGGCGTGCGAAGACGTCGGCGTGACCGTCGTCGCCTACTCGCCCATGGCGCAGGGCTTGCTCACGGGGAAGTACAGCGGCGCGGGCGCGGCCGCGGTGAAGGGCCCTCGCGGCGCGGTGTTCAGCGACGCGCGCCGGGCGGCGGTGGGCGAGCTCGTGGACCTCATGAAGAGTATCGGGAAGGAACGCGGCGATAAGACGCCGGCGCAGGTCGCGGTGAACTACTGCATGACGAAGGGCTCCGTGCCCATCCCGGGGGCGAAGGACGCGGCGCAGGCGGCGAGCGTGGTCGGGTGCTTGGGGTGGCGGCTGAGCGAGGGCGAGGTGAGGGAGTTGGAGAAGGCGGCGGGGAAGGTGCCGGCGTCGCCGGGCGCGCCGTTCGAGGCGTGGTGACGCGACGACCGCCGGCGGTGGCTCGACGTCGATACTGTACATTTCCGGAGCACTGAATGACTAATGACAGCAGATTATTAGCGCTCGCGTCAAACTTGCGGTGAGGACCCGCCGATCTCGCCGCGCCTGCCGATCAGAACGTTCGCGCGCGACCCGGAGGACGCCTTCGCGTCGTCGTCGCCCTCGCGCGCTTCCGTCGGCTCCCGAGCGCGGACTCGGAGAACCAGCGCGCGATCGCCGTCGCGTCGCGTCGCGTCGCGTCGTCGTCGTCGTCGTCGTCGTCGTCGGGTTAGGGTTCTCTTCTCGGTCTTCGATCATGGTCGACGCGCGCTTCCGCGTCGACTTCGCGGACGGCGGCAAGGGCGCGTCCACCTCCGTCGCGGATCCGCCCGGGTTCGCGACCCTCAAAGAGCTCGGCGACGGAGAGGGGGGCGAACCCGCGAGGACGTCCGCGGCCGCGGGGAAGGGCGCCGTCGCGGGGCCCGCGAAGAAGCGCGGCCACCAGCTCACGCCCGCGATGCGCGTCCAAAAGGCGTACGCGTTCGCGGGGGGGCAGCTCCAGTCGATCCTCATGATGGGGTTCATGATGTGGATGTCCGGCAACGGCGTGCAGATATTCAGCATCATGATCACGTTCGGGGGCATATTCAACCCCGCGAAGGCGATCTTGACCAGCGGGAAGACGTTCGAACGCTTCGGCGGCGCGGACGGCGCCGTCGACGTCACGGCGCCGCGGCTGGCGTTTTGCGCGATCCAATGCGTCGGGCTCGCGATGGCGCTGTATAAGCTGAACGCGATGGGGTTGCTGCCGACGCACGCGAGCGATTGGGTGTCGGGGATGAAGCCGCCGAGGGCGACGGAGCGCGCGTACGGAGGGACGACGTTGTGAGCGCGAGGGAGGGAAGTAGCGGCGGCGAGTAACGACGACGACCGCGAATAGGATTGCAAAAATAGTTCATCGGTCAGTTGAAAGGATACGCGATCAAATGTTGAAACCGAGCGATGGGTGAAAAAACGTTTGTATAGAACGCACCTGACTGCGAGCACGCCTCGGGACTCCCGAGCGTTTTTTCTCCGCGCATCAGATCCCCTCGACGCGACGCGCGTCGTCGTCGTCGTCGTCGTCGTCGTCGTCGTCGTCGTCGTCGTCGTCGTCGTCGTCGTCGCGCATGGGCAACATCTTCGACTGCCAGGTCGACGCGTCGGCGGCGCGGTCGTCCGCGACCGCGGGTCGCGTCGCGCGACCGCGACCGCGGGCCCCGGTCGCGTCGTCGTCGTCCCCGGGTTCTGATGAGGCGCGATACAATCCGCTGTGCCGAGACGCCGGCGTCGGCGGCGACGCGGAGGACTCGGACAGCGACGAGGACTTCTCGTTCGAGGCGGAGCGTCAGCGCGCGCGCGTCAACAGGCTACGCCGCGCGAGCGTCGAGCACGCGCGCATCCTCGAGGAGCTCGAGGATCTGCAGCGAATTAAGATCGCGCGCGAGACGGAAGCGCGACTCGAGCGCGAGATGCGCGCGTCGTGGCGCGCGCTCGGGCTCGAGGACACGCTCGCGTGGGGGGAGACGACGGAGAGGGCGGAGGCGAATCGCGCGGCGGAGAAGGCCGCGGAGGCGATAGGCGACGCGATGGAGGAGGAGGAGGCGTACGACGAGATATTAGGCGCCGCGGGTGGAGGTCGCGGCGGTTTCGGCGGCGATCGCGACGACGGCGAGACGTCGTCGTCGATTCGCTTCGCGCGGCACGACGACGCGTGGGCCGCGTTCGAGTCAAACTGCGACGACAGAAGACAGCTCACGATCGACGATATCCCGTGGCCTCCCGCGTGCAAGGACCTCCTCGCGTCGTTGGCCGCGCGGGAGATGGCGGCGGACGCCGAGGCGCGGCGAAGAGACGCGGCCGGCGGCGGCGGCGGCGGCGCGTCGTCGTCATCGTCGTCGTCGTCGTCGTCGCGTCTGAGCGGCGCGAACGCGTGGCGAATGGCCGCGTACAAGCGCGCGTTCAAGAAGGCGACGCTCCGATGGCACCCGGACAAGTTTGAGGCGAAGTACGGCGCGCGGTTGTCGACGGCGCCGGCGTCGGCGTCGGCGTCGACGGCGGCGTTTTCTTCGCGTCGTCGCGACGGCGCGTCTCCTCCCCGCGCCGACGCGGTCGACGCCGCGGTCGGCGAGACGCACGCGGAGGCGATCATGAGAAGGGTTGGGGTGATATCCCGCGGGCTGATCGACTCGTGGGGCGCGCTGTCGAGCTGACCGCGGCGCGGGAGGCGAGCGGTCCGCGCGCGTCGGCGCCTCGGGAAGGAACGCGCGCGTTCCGGAAGCGTCGGCGCGACGGGGCAAACAGTCACGCGAGAAAAATAGGGATTTAAAACTTCCGACGCGAGACTGTTTGCGCGAGCGTCGAGTTCGAATAAAAAAAGAAATATCCCGGAGAATAAAAATCGATTCGAAAAATCTTCTCACTGCCAAGGGTCCGCCAGTTGGCGGGATATTTTTGAGGGTGGGATAGGGTTGGTTCGGACAATGAATTCAGCTTTTTGGTTTCCCGCCCAGATCCAATCCGCAGTCAATTCGCGTCGATCAAGAAATTTCATCGGCGTGATTGACCCCAGAGCAGTGGGTCAAAAAAATCATCTACCGCGAGAATCTCACTGAGAATCGCCCTCATCGGAATTGGATTCGTATGGACGAATAGTGACGCGCGAAAATGACTGTAGGCAGTTTTCGAAAGCAGCTCGTAAAATATCCTGCCTCAAAAAGTGCCAGCTCGACCGGACGAGACGACGACGTTCATCGCCCTTTTTTCCTCTTTTCCGTCGCAGCAGAGATTTCCGTATGCGCTTTTAGTCTGGGAACTTTTTGTTAAGTTTTGTTTTCCCGCGCGCGCGTGATCTTTCTCGCTCTTTTTCGCGCTCGCTGTCTTCAACTCGCGGGCACACTCTCGCGCGCGCCACGCACGTCGAGACGTTTCGTTGATCCGAAACGAACTAAGAACACCCGAACGCGTCAGATCGTTCGCCTCCCCGCGCGCGCGTGCGAACCCGCGCGTCGTCTGCGCGCGTCTTCGCGGTCGCCGGCGAATCTCGCGGAGCCGGATTTATCTTCGCCCGCGCGATATGGACTCGCTCGTCGCCGCGGCGACGGAGGGGATGCGCAAGGCGTCCTCCGCGGATGAGATCAAGGAAGCCCCGAAGCCGATGGCACCGCCGAGAAATGAGGACGGTCACATGTCCGATTCCGCGGTCGCGCCGACGCGCGAGCGCAAGAAGGGTGCGTCACCCTCGACGCGGCGTCTGCGATAGTTTTCCCGCGAAGATAGTTCGCCGATTGATTACCCGTCTCTTCGTTTTCCGCCCTCGCGCGCGACGCGCGACGCGCGATGCGATCTCGCGCGCGACGCTGATCATCCCCACCCCTCCCTTCATGCATCCGCAGGCGTGCCGTGGACGGAAGAAGAGCACCGACTCTTCCTGCTCGGGTTACAGAAGCTCGGAAAGGTGAGATATAATCCTTCGCCGCGCAATTTGACTTTCCGCGCACTACAAGATACGACGCGGCGTCGTCGACGCGCGCGCCGCGCGCGCGTCGACGCCGCCGACGCCAGAAACGCGCGCGCGTCCGGATACGTGGTGTCGCGAGGACGCGTTCACCGCGGCGTTTCCGCGGGTTTCCGCGGGAACGCCCGGGAACGACGCGACAGCCCGGACAGCCGCGCGTCGACGCGACGGTCCGGCGAGCGCCGCGATCGCTCACAGTCTTTCGTTCGAACATCTGTCATCCACCTGTGCGCCGATAACGCGAATATTCGATCGGTGAAATCTACGATCAACGCCTCGGCGTGCCGAGCCGATTTTCGCTTTCGAGAACCTCTGGTCCTTTCGAGAATAAAACCTTTGGTTTCCCGAGAAAAATCTCCGAGAAACCCGAAGAAACCAAGATCTGACGCGAGCGACCGCTTCCCTCCCCCCTCCTCCCTCCCTCCCTTCCAGGGCGACTGGCGCGGGATCTCCAGGCACTTCGTGCAGTCGCGCACGCCGACGCAGGTCGCGTCGCACGCGCAGAAGTACTTCATCCGACAGAACAACCTCAACAAGCGGAAGCGTCGTTCGAGCCTCTTCGACATCATCTCCGAGCCCTCAGACGGCGAAAACGTCGTCAACATCGCGAACGGCGCCGCCATGATGAAGTCAACCGACGAGACCAACAACGGGAAGCACGCGAAGAAGCCGCCGCTGGCGGCGAACGCGGGCGGCCTCTCTCGCGCGTTCGCCGGCGGGATCCCCCCCGCGGGTCCAGCGTTCGCGGGGTACAACCCCACCGGGATGCCGCCGCCGGCGTCGTTCTCCTCGCACGGCAGGCGTCCGCCGTCGACGTCGACGGGGGACAGCGCGGTCGAGGCTGCCGCGGCGACGATCGCGGCGCTCGCGGGGACGTCGCCGCACGCCGCGGCGGGGTACCACGCGGCGGCGGCGGCGGCGGCGGCGCGCGAGCGCGGCGCGCGGACCGCGGCGGCGGCGCCGACGAGCGCGGAGGCTGCAGTCGCGCACGCGCAAGCCACGGCGGCGGCGCAGGCGCAGGCGCAGGCGCAGGCGGCGATGTCGAACCCGTGGGGCGGGCTCATGGCGCAGATGATGGCCGGCCCCGGAGCCGCGTATAACATGGGGCCCGGGGCTGCTGCGTCGCAGATGAACATCCACCAGGCGCAGGCGAACTGGATGGCGCACTACCACCAGTTTCTGCAGCAGATGCAGCACGCCGTCGCGGCGGCGCCGCAGCAGATGCCGTGGCCGCAGATGGCCGGCGCCGGGGGGCTGACGTTTCCGACGATGGCGCCGATCGGTCACCAGACGTCCGCGCCGATGGCGACCGGCGGCGGCGACGGCGCGACGAGCGGCGCGACCGCGGCGAAGGGTTCGGACAAGCCGCAGGCGGCGGCGTGAAGCGAATCGAATCGAATCGAATCGAATCGAATCGAATCGCGCGCCGCCGCGTCTCCTCTCCCGCGCCCCGCCGGGGCGGGGGAGGTTGTAACTCCTATTTTACTTTGTACGCACGCACGTGACGTGAGCCTGCCGACGTTGACACGCGCGGGGGGACGACGGAAGACGGACGACTCGCAGGAGAGGGGGTCACGGGATGCCCGCGCTCGCACCGCAATCGCACGACACACGACGCGAGGACGAGCGCGGGGGGGTCGCACCCGACCGCGACACGACGGACGGACGGACGCGTTTTAGCATCCACGTTCAGTTAGTAATTTTCGGTTAGTGTTTTAGAAGACTTAGTTGCTTTACTTTTGGAAATACGCACGCAAAAACAATTTTCATTCACACGACGAGAGAGATAGAGACACGCGCGCGACGCGACGCGACGCGCGAGAAGAGCCGAAAAAAAAAACCAAAAAAAAAAAAATCATCCACTCTGAAAACACCCTCTCCGATCGAAAAGAAAAACCAAACATTCTGCGGACACCCTCTCGATCCCGAGGCGCAGCGCTGTCGACGCTGGATGTTAAATTCAATCTGAGCGACTCGTATGGAAAAATAGAGCGAGAGCTGTTTGGGAAAATAAATTATTCCTCCGGAGAATGAAAACCATGTGCGACGTCATCGATTTTTCCGCGATCGATCGATCCGCTTGTGTCCGTTACGCGATTCGAAAACCAAAAAAATAACTCGCCGGAGAGACGTTTGTCGTTGTTGACCTCGGCCATCAACGTCACTCTCCGTCGCGCCGCGGGTCTTCTCCCCACGCGCGCCCTCACGATGAGCGGCACCGTACCGACGGTGATCCCCGCGCAGCTGCGCGCGGCGGCCGGGCGGCCGCCGACGCCGCCTCCCGCGGCGCCGCCCGCGCCTCCGACGGAGGACGCGAACGCGGCGGCGATGCCGCCTCCGCCTCCGCCTCCGCCCGCGAGCGACGCCGTCGCGGTGACCGTCGCGGCGAGCCCGCCGTCGTCGCCGCCGCCCAGGGACGCGGCGGCGACGCGCGACCCGATGGCCCTGGACGACTACGCCCCGAGAGGCGGCCCGATGGTCACGCGCGTGTGGCAGCCCACGCCCGCGCCGGACGCCTCCGCGGTCGGATCCATCATGCTCGCGCCGCTGACGCCGCCGAGAGAGAAGACGCGCGCGGCGATGCACGGCGGCGCGGGCACCGCGGCCGCGGCCGCGTCGAACCCGCGACGCGACCGCGCGCTCGCGGGCGCGGGCGACGACGACGGCCTCATCGTCCGCAGGCGCCCGGCGGCGCGCGCGGACAACCTCGCGCGACGCGTCCAGCGCGCCGAGGCGGAGAAAAACGACGCGCGATGGTTCGACGAGCGCGACGGCGGGATTCGATGCGCGGCGGACCCGATCCCGCCGGGGGGCGAGCGCTCGCGGCCGGCGCGATGGTTCGACCCGGACGCGCCGTATTTACAGACGATACCCGCGGTCGATCACCTCGCGGGGTTGGACGGCGCGGCCGCGATGGCGTCGTCGTTCGGCGGGGGCGCGAAGGATGACGACGCGTATCGGTTGGAAGTTTCCGTGGGGAGGCTCGAGTTCGCGTGCCACCCGCTCATGGGGAAAGAGGACTTCCTCGCCGCGCAGCTCGAGGAGACCTTCCGCGCGTACAAGCGCCGCGAACTTAGCGGGTTGGCGCGGCTGTACGATACGAAGAGCCACGCCGCGAGGGCGAGGGCCAAGGCGCTGAGGCGAGAGATGGACGGCGGCGTCGCGCTCTTTCTGAGCGGCGCGTCCCCCGCCGAACGCTTAAAGGCGATGGAGGAGGAGGCGGAGGAAGCGCTGCAGCTCGCGTTGGACGAGGGCGAGAAAGCGCGGGCCGCGGTGAAGCACATGATTGATCTCCACGTCGCCATCGAGGAAGCGCGACGCGCGATGGGAAGCCGAGCGACGAGCGTTCGATTGGTCACGCGCCCGAAGCCCGGGTCGGACCCCGCGCATATCGCCGCGGGGACCGCGGAGCTGGAGCCGATCCTGACCGGCGGTCCCCCGCGCGACGAGGGCGCAAACGTGTTGCGAGCGGAGCAGAACCGCAGGTCGAGGGCTGCGAGCGCGCGATTCTCCGTCGCGTTGGAGATCAACGGAAAGACGGTTCCCGGGTGGTCGCAGCCGGTGTCGTTATCCTCCAACGGCGGCTTCTCCACGACGATCGCGCACGCCTTCTCCGTGACGGTGTCCAAGTGGCCCGAGTCCGTGCGCTTGGTGTTATACGAGAAGGGCACGGTCATGGACACGAAGATCGCGGCGGTGCCCGTGGCGTTGCCCGGGGCGGAGCTGGACGCGCCGACGGCGGACCCGCACGCGAAGCAGTACCAGTTCAGCGCGGAGAGCCCGTTCAATCCGGCGTGGAACAACACCGCGGCGGGCGCGATCCCCATCGGCGACGCCACCGCGGATACGGGCGCGAAGTTCACGTCCGGGTCGCTGTTCATAACCTGCGCGTGGGTCCCGAGGGAGACGCACGGGTTCGGCGGCGCCGCCGCCGCCGCCGCCGCAGCCGCCGCCCGCGACGACGATGTGGAGAAGCGCGCGCGGATCGCGCCGCCGCCGCCGACGCGCGCGACGATGAAGAAGCAGAGAGCCGCGCACGCGCTGCAGGGCGCGGGCGTGGACTTTCGCGCGTCCATCGACGGAGGAGAGGGAGGATTGAAGGCGGCGCTCGACCCGTCCAACCCGGAGGACGCGGCGTTGCTCGAGACGATGGAGACGAAGGACGCGCTGAAGCACCAGACGGGAGGAGGCGCCGTTAACGGCGGGTTCAGACTCGCCAGCGTGGACGACCAGATGCTCGGGTACACGTCCAAGGCGTCGAAGCGGCAGCAGCTCCTGAAGCTTCGCGCGGAGCAAGGGGTGCCGCTCATGGACGGCGGCGTGCCGCTCGAGGATGTCAACATCCCGGATCACCTCCTGGATAAGACGGCGGAGGAGTTCGCGGGGGATAAGATCATGGGCGCGCAGATGGCTGGGCTCGCGGAGGCGGACCGACGCGCGTCGAAGATTGCCGATCACCTGCACAGGATTCGTCTGAACTTGAAGCGCGCGAACCGAAACGCCAAGGCGGGGATCAAGGGCACGAAGGGCCCGGCGCGGACGGAGGACGTCGTGAAGGACACGCCGCTGCCGATCCTCGCGTTCAACATGGAAAACATCGCCCGCGTGTTTAGCTTTCTCAAACCGCGGCGGAAGCTGCGCCCGACGCGCCGCAGAGCGCGCGCGGAGGAGTCGCACCCGGAGTACTGCGAGGTGGTCATCAACATCCAGAAGGCGTTCAACTTGCCGGTGCGATCCGGCGGTGGCGGCGGCGGCGGCCGCGGGATGAACCGCGGCGGGGGCTACGGCGACGACCGCGGCGGGTTCGGCGCCGGGTTCGGCGGCGAGCTCCAGCCGTATATCGAGGTGACGTTCCAAAACTACACCACGCGCACGCGCGTCGCGAGCGGGTCGTCGCCGTCGTGGCAGGAGAGCATCTCGCTGCCGTTCAGACCCCCCGGGGGAGATTTCTCCCCCGCCGGCCTCGTGAACATGTCCGACGCGATCGAGATCACCCTCTTCGACGAAGTCCACGAAGAGCCCGAGCGTTCCTACGGCGCCGCCTCGAGGACGAGGAACGGTGGCTCGGAGACGACGTCCACGACGCGCCACTTCCTCGGGAAGATCAACGTCTCCGTCGCGTCGCTGTATCGCGCCGGCGACGGCAAGGTGGAGGGCGTCTTGCCGTTTGAGCAGCCCCGCGCGCTCATCGGGTACGACACGCCGCCGCCGGTGGCGAACGCGACCGGCCGCGGCGGCGTCCCCGGCGCCGGCGGGCTCTCTCCGCAGATCCGCGCGAGCCTCGGGGTGTACATCCAGTTCGCCCCCGCGCTCGCGAAGCCCGACCCGGGACCGTCGGACGCCGGCCAGGGCGAAGAGGACGCGCTCTTGCGGCACGGCCAAAAGTGGGAGATGGACGCGCGCGGTGCGAACAAATCGTGCAAGCACCGGCCGTACGTCAGCGCGGTCACGAACGCGCAAGGGCGCTCGTGCTTGCTGCCGCGCTACGTCGCCCCCGCCGCGCTCCCGCCTGGATTCCAGGGCGCCGTCGCGGACGAGCCGACGCTGCGGCAACTGCTTCGCTTCGTGCACCTCGTCCCGCACGTCTCCGACATGGAGGCGTTCGAGACGCCCGCGAACGTGGACATATGGACTACGTCCGCGGAGTTCCTCGACCTGTGCGCGGGGGACTCGGAGGAGCACGCGCTTCTGCTCGTGGGGTATCTGCTCACGCTGGGCGTCGAGGCGTACATCGTGCTCGGCGTGAGCGCCGCCGACGCCAACGCGGCGATGGTGTTCACGCCGGGGGGGCAAGGCCGCGCCGCACAGAATATGACCAGGCACGGCGGAAGGAACGGTGACCCGAACGCGTACGCGCCGATGCTCGAGGACGCGCTGATGTGGGACCCGTTCAGCGGGGAGGTGTACAGCGTCTACGACTCGTCGTGCAGCGCGTGCATGGGCGAGATCGCCGTCGTCTTCAACGCGGATAACATCTGGGCCAACGTGCAGCCGAGAGCGCGGCCGCACGAGATGCACTGGAACCTGAACGACAGCGCGCACTGGAAGCCGTACTTCAGCGTCACCGGGTTCGCGCCGCGGAGTTTGCCGACGTGCCAGAAGACGATCGCGTACCAGTCGTACGAGCCCGCGTTTTACGAGAGAATCGCGAGCGCGGTGGAACGAGAGGCGATGGACGCCGTCGTTCGCATCCGTTCGCGGCAGCACACGCCGTTCAACCGCCGCGTCTCCAGACAGCTCAAAGAGATGCTCCGCGACATCGAAGGCCACGTGCTGATGTCCCCGGACGAGGCTGCGATGGGGATATCGTTGGGAGGCGGCAAGGGGCGGGTCGGGACGCTCACGGAGCTGCACGTGAACGAGCTCGGGAACATGCTGGACGGGTACACCGTCACCGGGTGTCCGATCAACTTGCGGTTCGTGGACGCGGCGGAGGTTCGAAACGCGATCGAGGAGACCGCGATCGCGGACACGTCGAGGAGCGACGTCGAGTTCGCGGTCGCGACGCACGTGGAGCCGTACGGCGCGACGTTCGTGTGCTCCGTGTGGATATACGTCGCGCGGCTGACGAAAAATTCGAGGTATTAATCATGATAGTAGTCCGAGGCGGCGTCGACGCGCGCGTTAGCGGGACTGGCGCGCGGGGGCGCGATCGATAGTAGTTTTTGAACTGTATTATCTAAGGTGGCGTTTGAACCACACGTCGTCGATCGTCATTCGTAGTGCGGATGCGGATGCGGATGCGGAGCGGCGTCCCGCCCCCCGCCTCCCTCCCATCCGCCGTCGCCCCCCGCCACCGCCTCCTCTCGCTCCCTCGCCCGCGCCGCCCGCTCCCGCTCGTCCCTCCTCCGCGCGTTCGCGCTCTCCATCGTCGCCTGTCGAACGACGAGATGATCGACGAGCGCGATCGCGAGCATCCCGACCGTCGTCGGCACCGCGAACGCGACGAAGAGCACGACGACGTCGGAGACGCCGTACGTCTTCTTAGACCACTCGACCATCTCCGCGGCGACGCCCGGCGCGGCGAGCGCGACGCCGCACGCGCGTCCGAACCAGTTGTTCGGCGCCTTCCAAAACGGCACCGGCTTCACGGACCGCCACCCGGACCGTCCGAAGTTCGCGAGCGCGCTGAGCGTTCGCGCGGCGGTGTACTCGCGCATCTCGCCGTCTCTGAGGTAAAAGATGGACGGGTACGCCTTGACGTCGAGACGCTTGACGAGCGTGCGGCACTCCGGGCCGTTCACCTTGGCGACGCGGATGTTCGAGTCCGCGAGCTCGGTCGCGAGCTCTTGCCACGTCGGCGCGAGCTGCTTGCAGTCTGCGAGGACGGGTGGGGAGGGAGGGACGCGGAGGTTTAGGCTCCGTGAGTTTGCCGTTGGCCGTGATTTCATTGATCTCATTCGTCGGACTCGACGACGCGCGAGTCGAGAGAGAGGGCACGGAGGACGGGCGCTCACGTCCACACCACGTCGCGTAGACGTCGATGAGTATCGGCCCTTTCGCGACCTGCGGGTTCGGACGAAGGCGGCGGCGCGCGCGTCAGCGAAGGGAGGGGACGAAGAGGACGGGACGAGATCCCCCGGGGGTCGACGTAACCTAACGAGTCCACGCGCTTATTTTACCGCGAGAGGCGGGCGCTGAATCTGAAGCGCGCGCGGACGACGACCGACGCGCACCTGCTCGTCGAAGTTCGCGTCCGTGAGCTCGATGACCGTCCCCGCGGAGGACGCCGCGGACGACGCCACGAGCGTCAGCGCGACGATGACCGCGAGCGCGCGCATGGTGCGCGCGGAAGTGACGACGACGACGACGACGACGACGAGTCGACGACCCGTCCGAGAAACCACCGACCTCACCTGACGCGGTCGCTGCGGCGGCGCCCGACCGCCGTTTGGTTTCCCCGCATCAGTCCACCCCCGCGCGAAGGATCTGGCGCGCGCTCGCGCGCGCGATGGCCATGCCGACGTCCACGCCCGCCCCCCACGACAAAGACCCCCCCCTCCACGACGTCGCCGATCTTCGCGACGCGGCCGCCAAGCCGATGGGCAACGTCCAGTCGCTCCTCCACCGCCGCCTTCGCGCGCTGCAGAAACGCTCCGCGAAGATCGAACGCGCCGTCGCCAAGGAGCGCGACGGCGGCGAGATCGACGACCAGCAGCGCGAGCTCGTCGCCGGCGCGGCGCTCACGACGTCGATGCTCGACGAGATGACCAAGCTCTTCGATCAGTGCGTCGGCGCGATCGCGGCGGACGTGCGCGACGCGGTCGCGGACGCGAAGGCGCGCGAGATCGCGACCGCGCGCGAAGCCATCGAACGGCTCGAGAAGACGTCGCGGGACGAACGTCGCGACGCGGAGGCGAGGGAGACGCGGCGCGAGAGGGACGAGAAGAGACGCGCGAAGGAGCGCGAGGGCGCGCTGAGAGCGTTGGAGAAGCGGTGCGAGGCGGCGGAGAAGGCGGCGAGGGCGGCGAACGATCGCGCGGCCGCCGCGGAGCGCGCGCTCGCCGACGCCGCCGCCGCCGCCGCCGCCGCCGCGGAGAAGGCGAAGAAGGCGACGATCGCGCGCGACCCCCTCCCCAAACGCCCCAACGACGCCGACGCCGTCGCCGCCGCGGTCGAGGACGCGACCAGGGAGATCATCACCCTGCTCTACTACGCGAACGCGTTCGACCTCTCCCTGCCGGACGTCCCGCCGTTCTCGCACGCGCTCGAGAGGGAAGCGGCGTTGTCGTACCACGCGGATCCGCGGTGCCGCACCCATCGGTCGGTGACGGCGGAGGACCTCGACGCGTTGGTCGCGCTCGCGCGCGCGGCGACGACGCGCGCCGCCGCGGACGTCGGCGACGGCGCGACGCAGACGCAGATGATGTCGCACGCGGAGGCGATCGAACGGTGCGTCGCGCTCGCGACGTCGTGGGTGTCGTCGACGAACGCCCTCCCCGCGCCCGCGTGGACGTCGCGCGCGCGAGGCGTCGTCGACGCCGTCCGCGGGAGCGGGTGGAATACGCTTCGACCGGTGATGCACGGCGTGGGCGACGTGGGCGGCGCGGACGGGGGGGACGCGATGCCGATGCCGCCGGCGGCGGCGCGGCAGACGGGCCACCACCTCGCGGGAGGAGGGAGGGAGGAGAAGGAGGGGGAGGACCGCGCGTCGGCGCGGCCGAGGGCTCGCGAGCGGGAGCGAAAGCCTCCGGCGGCGGCGGCGGCGGCGCGTTCGAACGGCGCCTCCCCCGGGACGGTCCTCGCGGCCGCGCCGGGTCAACCTGCCCCGGAGGCGTTCTTCTCGGGGATGGGAGGCATGGGGTTCCTGGACATGGTCCAGCGGCAGCAGCAGCAGCAGCAGCAGCAGCGGCAAGGGCAGCAGCGAGGGCAGCGGTGGCGGCGCCCGAGACGCGACGAGTTCGCGCCGCCGCCGCGCGGGTTCAGCCCGCCCGCGCGCGTCCCCACGCCGCCGCCGCTCCTCCCGACGCTCTCGACGGTGTCGTCCATGGACCAGTACGGGTTCGTCGCCGCGATTTCCGAGGGCGGGGACGAGCACGTCGGCGAAGGCGTCGGGAAGAAGACCGCGAAGCGAGGCGGCGGCGGCGGGAAGGGCGAGAAGCGAAACGCGAACGCGAACGCGAACGCGGCGCGACGCGGCGGCGGCGGCGGCGGCGGCGGCGGCGAAAGAGCCGCCGTCCCCGCGCCCGCGGTCCCCGCGCCCGTCGTCGCGAGGACGACGACAGCGCCGCCCGGCCCCGGCGGCGGCGAGAAGAGGAAAGAGCGCGGCGACAGGAACGGCGGCGGCGGGAGAGGCGGGAGAGGCGGAGGAGGGGAGAAAAAGACCGCGCGCGGCGGCGGCGGCGGCAGCGGCGGCGGCGGCGGACGCGGCGGACGCGGCGGGGAGAGGAAGTGAACGATACGATCGACGGGAACGCATCACGACGCGAGCGAGACCAACCAACGTGAACGGTGTGACGATGAAACCGATGAAACGTACGCGTCGCACGCGCGAGCTCGTCGCTCCGTCGCCGCCTTCTTCCTCGCCGAACGATACGGTACGAGTATCTCCCGGAGATTCTGTTCACTTCGCGATATTTTTTCGTCTCTCCGACACGAGGCATCGTCCGCGCGTCATCATATCCGCTCACGCATCGCACGCGCTTCACTCAAACCTTTCTTCACGAATATGCCGGTCTCCCCCGCTCTCGCGTTCACCCTCACCAACGGCGGTGCGTCCCCTCCCGTCCCGTCGTCGTCTCCTCGCGCGCATCGCGTTCCCCCGCATTTAATTCAACAACGACGCGATCGATCGTTTCAACGATTCCGTCCCTCTTCCCCCTCCACCGCAGGCAACTACGCGTCGTGCCTCGCGCTCCCGCGCGATCAAACGCTCCAGATCTTCTGCACGCCCGCGTACCAGAAGAGCGGCGCGGTGAACCCGGAAGCCGAGGTCGCGGTGCGTCCCGCGCGCGACCGTCGCTCGCTCGGAAGTATATTCCGAAATATCTTCTATTCTCTTCGTGACACCAAGCGTCCATCCGTCGTCCCGGCCTCGCCTCCGACGTCGACGCCTCACAACCGATCCCCGCCCCCGCTCCTCCTTCCTCCAGTGGCGCTTCATGGGCGCGACCGGCCTCACCGCGTGCGCGGCCGCGATGATCGCGGACAAGGCCGCCTCCGGTCCGTCCTTTTCGCGCTCTCTCTCTCCGCTCGGCATCCCGCGGTTTCAAAGTACTTTCGTACCTATCAAACGCGAGCGCTCGACCGTAAAACTGACCGATATTTCGACTCGTCCTTCCTTACAAACCGCGCAGGAGACGCGAAGCGTAACCTCAACATCGCGGTCGCGGGGACGTCGCTCGTCCACGCCGGGCTCTTCGCGACGAACACGACGATGAAGGAGGACGTCCGCCCCGCGATCAGGGCGCTGAACATCGCGACGAACCTCGCCGTCGCGGGTCTCGCGATCAAGGAGGCGGTTGGGAAGTGAACCTATCGTGCCTTGCTTTGAAAGTAAAAATATGAACCCGTATGATCGATCAACCGCGTTCGTTTTCATCGGTCGACGACAAGACGTCGCGCGTTTCGTCCAGAGACGGCACTGCTACTGACTGCGAACTGCAGCCGTTGATGCGTAAGCAAGAGCAGCACGCAATGCTCGCCACTCCATCATGGACCTCGAACGCGGCGAGCGGCGCCCGCGTCGCGAGGGCGAGCGACGTCACCGCGACGACGGCCGCGGCGAGCGACGCCACCGCGACGACGGCCGCGGCGAGCGGCGGCACCGCGACCGCGACAACCCGCGCGAGCGACGCGAACGCGGGGACCCGCGCGCGGGCCACGGAGGCGAAGCGCGACGAGGCCCACCTCGACCGGGGCGACGACGCCCGCCGCACCTGATAAGACGACATAAGAAGCCGAAGCCGCCCGGGCTTCACGTCATGGGCGTCAAGGTGACGTTCTGGCGCGTCTCCCTGCTCGCGTTCCTCCTCGCCTTCTGCGTCGTCGCCGGCGCGTGGCTCGCGCCGTCGTACGAGCGCTACAAGAACCGCCCGTCCACGGTCCGCCAATTCTGCGAGGTGCTCGACTCGAACGCCGACACCGGCTGCGTCGCGGTCCGGCTGCTGTACGAGTCCGACTGCGACAACCCGTACGCGTACAACAGCGCCGCGGAGGGCGGCGGGACGACCAAGGCGCAAGACAAGGCGGCGTGCGAGGCGATGATGAAGCGTCTTTGCGTCTATTCCGACGACCAAAAAGCCGCGAGCGACGCGTGGCCGCCGGACCCGAACGCGATCTCCCCGGACCTGCGAGCCGCGTACGTGGCCAGGTACCCGAACGCGACCGAGCACGCGTGCTGGTACCCGCCCGGGGAGATGGAGAGAGGGATGACGTTCACGCCGCCGCGGGAGTACTGGGACGATTTTTTCAACGCGTTGATGACGATGATTCCCATCCTGTTCGGTTTGCTGCTGTCGTTCTGGTGCGTCGTGAGACGGAAGAGGACGCACCCGGAGCTGGAGGACGAGGAGATGCTCAGCGGACTGTTCGACGAGGTGGTGTCGCACAAGGACGGCATGCGCGCGCTCGCGGAGGAGCAGAGCAGGGCGGTGAGGAGTCTCCAGGCGAAGCTCGACCGCGAGCAAGAGAAACGCATCGACTTCGTCTTGGAGGTTGAAAAGGAGAAGAAGGAGCGATTGATGAGCGAGGATAACATCAAGCACGCGGTGAACGCGAACTTGAGGAGCATGGAGAGCAAGCTCGCCGCGGAGATGGCCGCGAGGTTAGCGCAGGCGTTGGGGAAGAAGGGCAAACGCGCGGCAAAAAAGTTTGAAAAAGAGCGCCTCCTAAATTCGGGCGACGGCGGGACGAGGCCGGACAGCGCGGCGTCCATCTACGAGGAGCACGAGCGGGATTACGCGCGCAGACGAGCGGCGTTAGCGGACGACATCGAGGCGCAGCGGAGCGCGTTTCACAAGCGGCTCGCGGATCGCAAAGCGCGCCCAGAGCCGGGAGAGAGGCGCGAGGGGCGGGAGAGAGGCGGCGATAGAGGCGAGCGGCGGAGCAAAAGCCGCGGTCCGCGACGCGACCGCGCGTGAAGCGGATGGAGCGGTGATCTCTTTAATATCTTTCACGTAGTGTACTACCGTAGCGATATCAAACCAAACCACCGCGCGGCGCGCTGCTGCTGCTGCTATTCGGCTAGTTGAACCGCAGCCCGAACTTCGAGGTCGCCCCGCGGTGTTGCCCTCGGCTGTCCGCGAGCCCGCTGCCCGCGCCCAAGGAAAACTGCTTCTTCGACTCCACCTGCGTCCCGCTTCCCGCGAACCCGCATCCGCCCCTCTGAAGCTTTACGACCCCCTTCACCTTCTTCCCGTCCCACGCCCCATCCTTCTTTATCACCTGCTCGTACGCGTCCTCGCTCACGGCGACGCCGCTCGGTCTCAACACGACGATCTTCGTCGTGTTCGTAAACGTCTTCCGCGTCACCGGGCACATGTATCTCTCGCCGTCGACGTCCGCGCCCGTCGGCACTCTCGTCCACTTCACCGGCAGCAGGTCCTTCAGCCGCAGCCTCTTCATCGTCGTCGGGCACTTCGTCTCCGTATCCGGCTTGTCGCCGACGCGAACCTCCGCGGTGGGGGTCTTGGAAGGGAGCCAATACGCGGGAAGCTCCTTTTTCCGTCGCTCGCGTTCCTCTTCGTCGATCCCCTCGTCGCCGGTGACGCCGGTGCCGTCGCCGACGTCCGCCTCCGCGCCGGCGAGCGAGACCGGCGCGGACGACTTACCGACGCCGCCGTTGTTCACGCGCTCGAAGCGGTCGACCTCCTCGATGCGCTTCTTCCGCGCCTCTTCCGCGGCTTTCTCCTCGTCTCGCGACGCCTGGTCTTCGTACGCTCGCGTCCGTCGCGCGATGTCCTTCTTCTGGTGCAGCAGGCACGAGAAGATGTGCTCTTTGTCGTACAGAACGCCCTCGGGGGTGACTAACGGGTCGATCGCGTGCGTTAACCCTAACGCGCACGCGTCGAAGTCCTTCACCGTCTCCTTCCCGAGGCGCTCCTTGACGGTCCCGAACCCTAATGCTTTCTTCTCCATGTACGTCAAGTTTTCGCTTCCCATCGTCCCCGCGTTCTTGCTGTGGCGGTTGCCCGTGCCGCCCATGGCGACGGACGGAAGGGACGGACGTGCGCGCGCGCGGGTCTAAGCGAGCGTCGCGCGCGCGCGATCGGCTCGGAGGAAGCGCGCGTCTCGTCTTCGTCGCGCGGTGGGGAGTGCGGCGAGGGGAGGGATCGATCGATCGCGCGGGGATCTCCGAAATGCGATTCAAATTATGCAAATGCAGGTTAAGGTTAAGGTTAACCTTACGCGGACGAGTTAACGACGAGTTAAGGTTAAGTTGTCAGTACGTGTACACTAGTTGTAGTGTAAGTTGTCGCGACCGCAGCCTGGCCGCACGCGAGATCGCACCCGAACACCCGAACTCTCAAGATGTAGGCAGAGGCGCGCGCGCGTAGCCTCCCCGACGCGTCCGGCGCGCGAGGGCACCGGACGCGCGCGAGGGCACCGAACGCCTTCGCGCGATGCGACAAAGACGCGTCGCGGGCGAGGACGCCGCGGACGCGAACGCGGCGCGCGATGGGGACGTCGCCGAGGCGTCGCCGTCGTCGCGGACGAGCGCGTCGGGAGGATTCGCCGAGGTCGCGCGCTCGCTGTTCGGCCGCGCGGACGCGTCGCTGTTCAGAGACTGGCGGACCGCCGCGTTCGCGTCGAAGGAGGACAGCGACGCGTTCGGGTGCGTCGCCTCGTCCTCATCAGTCGCCTCGTTCGCGTCGCCGCGAGTCGAACGCGTTCGACCGCGATAAATGCGTCACGATCTCCGCCCCCTCGCGTCCTTTCGCGCCCGCGGGCGGTTCCCTTCCCTCGTCCGCCGTCCGACGCCAGTCCCCCTTCTCTTCATCCCCTTCTCCCTCCCCTCGTCCTCCCTCCCGTCCCTCCCCAGGCGATGGCGCAAGAGCAGCCTGGCCGTGCTCGACGACGCGAACACCGCGGTCGTGTTCATCCTCCTGACCACGGTGGTGTACTTCGACTTCGTCAAGTGCGTTCTATAAACACGAACGCTTTTCACCCACCCCGTTCGATCGCGGCCCCTTTCAACTGACCATCGATGGGCGGCGACGTCTCCACTCAGGCACCCGGTGGCGGCGCTGACGCCGCACCTCCAGACGAACCTCCTGTGCTTCTGGGTCGTGAACGTAGTCGTCTTGGTCGTCATGATGTGGCACGCGCACTTCCGAACGGGTTCGTACGAGCTGCGGAAGAAACTCGTCGCCGCGTACCTAGTCGTCAGTTTTCTCACGGTGAACTCTTTGATTTTCCACATGTTCGCGCTGGGCGACCGCCCCGTGCCGGCCAAGGCGCGTCCTCCCTCGTTGTCACACTGTTTGTCCCCACACGACCGCGCTCGCGTCTTGTGCGCCTTTTCCTCGAGGACTTTTGTCGCCTCGCCGTCGTCTCTCTCCGCCCGACAACCCCGCGGTTTCAGCGCCCGAACTCGACGCCTTTCAACTCCGCTTCTGACGCCTTTCGACTCCGCCCCGACGTCGCCTCGCGCGGACCCTCGACCCTCAGTACCGGATGGTCTTCGGCGCGTTCTTCACGATGAACTCCCAGCTCGCGTGGGGCACGCCCGGGACGGCGGACTCCCCGCTGTGGTTCGCGTTGCCGAGATCCTTCGTGCTCGTCCCGCTGTTTTACCTCCGCTACGGCATCTTCTTCCGGTGGCACGGCTACGGCCCGTATCGGTGCAACGTCGTCGGCGTGTGCGCGCCGCTGCCGGGCCCGAACGAGCTCGGGTTCATCGCGACGTGGCCGGGCGTCTTCGTGGACGTCTTCGTGTTGACGTTCGTGATGGTGCTCGCGGAGTGTAAGCTGGCGTTGTCGTGGCGCCTGTGGCGCGCGCAGTTGAGTCGCGAGTCCAACGCGGGGGTTCTCCCGGGGGGGGCGCGCCGAGCGAGCGACTGAAAGGCGTCGGTTGGAGGGAGTTGAAAGGCGTCGAGGGTGGGGATTGAAAGCGAGGGACCCTGGGCGGAGAGAAACGCCGGGCGAAGTCCTTGAGAAACGGCGTTCACCACGCCGACGCGGTCGTACGGGGACCGGTGTAAGGAGAACGCGCCTTGACGCGACGCGATCGACGACGAGACCGTCGTCGGCACGGGGCGCGATGGAACGCGTGGACGCGCGATAGCGAGCGCGGAGTCGACGTGACGGACGCGTGGGCGCGAGGAAGGAAGCGCTCGGAGTGGATGGAAGCGTTCGCGGACGTCAGTTGGCGTTGAAAGGCGTCGAGGGCGGGGATTGAAAGCGAGGGGTGGGCGGAGAGAAACGAAGGGCAAAGTCCTTAAGAAACGGCGTTCACCACGCCAACGGGGTCGTATGGGGACCAGTGTATAGAACGGGGCGTTCGCGGAGGAGGGCGGAGACGAGCGGCGGATGACGGCCGTCTTGTCTTTCGCTCGCGAAGGAAAATAAACGAGGAGGTTGTGCGACGAGGGGGGGCGCGGCGGCGGCGTGCGCGCGGCGCGGCGCGACGTGGCGTGCGCGGTATCGAGGAGGACCAGGGGGACGAATCGGTCGCGGCGCGGGCGACCGGAGTGGAGAACGGATAGAGACGGTGCGCATAGCTAGAGAGACGGCGGAATGTGTAGGGAAGAAAAAAAAACCATCGTTCTCTGTTTCGATGTGTCGCGTCAACGCGCAGACTCAGGCGCAACCTCTCAGGTGTTCGTTCAGGATATCTGGGCGCGAATCCCTCAGACGCGCTGACTTCGACGCGCGCTGCCTCCCTCCGCACGCCAGGCGCGATGCCGGCGAAGCGCGCGAATCCCTCGGCGACGCCGCCGAGGGGGAAACGCCCGAGAAGCGTCGACGGCGACCCGGTGCGTCCGCGCGCGCGCGTCCTCCCCTCGCGGGGAATTGGACCACGCGTTCAGTCAAGATCTCTCCTTTTCTCCCCCCGAGGCGAGGACGAAGCGCCTTCGCCTCGACGATCCCCCCGACGCGCTCGCGCTGACCGCCTCCCCCCCCCCGCGCCTCCCTCCCGAACGCAGACCGACGACGACGACGCCGCGGGCTCCTATGGGCAAACAGTCTCGCCGAGCGCGGACGCGATCGCCGCGAGCGCGGTCGCCGCGGGCGCGGACCCGGAGGCGGTGCGCAAGCTCATGGAGCCCGTCCTCGAAGACCCGGACGGCGACCTCGCGCGCGCCAACTTGAACGTGCTCACGACGCTGCAGAAGACGCTCGAGAAGGCGGCGGCGGCGGCGGCGGCGGCGGCGGCGGCGGCGAACGGCGGCGCGGGTCCCGGCGCGACGCCGCACGGTCACGGTCACGGTCGCGGTCACGGTCACGGTCACGGTCACGGCCACGACCACGACCACGACCACGACCACGACCACGACCACGACCACGACCACGACCACGACCCGCCGCCGCCGCGGAAGCGCGGGCGACCGCCCGGAAGCAAGAACAAGAACGGCCCGCCCGCGGGCGGACGCCGGTGCCAAGAGTCTGAGTGCGAGAAGCTCGACGTCGGCGGCGGGAAGTGCGTCGCGCACGGCGGCGGGAAACGATGCTCAGGTGCGTTCTATACACTGGTCCCCATACGACCCCGTCGGCGTGGTGAACGCCGATCCTTAAGGACTTTTTGCCGGCGCATCTCTACGCTCATCCCTCGCTTTCAATCCCCGCCCTCGACGTCTTTCAACTCCAACTGACGCCTTTCAACTCCACCCCGACATTCGCTCGTATGGAACGACCCTCAGAGGATGGCTGCTCCGCCGGCGCGCGCGGCGGCGGAAAGTGCATCACCCACGGCGGCGGACGTCGGTGCCGAGAAGAAGGGTGCTCGAACGGCGCCGCGAGCGGCGGGGACAAGTGCATCACCCACGGCGGCGGGCTGCCGTGCACGGAGGAGGGGTGCGACCGCAAGAGAAAGATTCGCGGGCTGTGCGCCGTGCACGCGGGGGTGAATAAAAAATCTCTGTGCTCCGTCGCCGCGTGCTTCGCCAAGGACGTCGGCGGCGGGAAGTGCAAATCCCACGGCGGGAGGGCGACGTGCACGAAAGAAGGGTGCGATCGCAAGGTGGCGGCCAGGGGCGTATGCAGGGTGCACGACGAGAGCGCGCCTCGGTGCGAGGAGGACGGATGCGACGAGTTGGCGCGCGCGCGGGGGCGGTGCCGCAACCACGGGGGCTACGTCAACAGGGACTGCGGGCGCGACGGGTGCGCGAAGCACGCGCTGTCGGGGAGCGAACACTGCAGAGCGCACGGCGGGGGGAAACGGTGCCAGAGAGAGGGCTGCGGCAAGGGCGACGCCGGCGGCGGGTTTTGTGTCTCGCACGGCGGCGGGAAACGGTGCCAAGTCCCGAACTGTCCGAAGGGCGCCGCGGGCGGGACGGGGCAGTTTTGCGTCGCTCACGGCGGCGGGAAACGGTGCAAGCACGAGGACTGCGATAAGCCCGGGCATATCAAGGGCTTGTGCGCGACGCACGGAGGCGGCAAGCTGTGCGGGCACGAGGGGTGCGAGAAGTGGGACGCCGGATACGGGTTTTGCCGCTCGCACGGAGGCGGGAAGCGATGCAGCGTCGAAGGCTGCGACACCCCGGTGAAACTCAGAGGGTTGTGCATCAGACACGGCGGCGGGCACACGTGTAGCGTTGAAGGGTGCGATCGAAGCGCGAAGGCGAGAAACTTGTGCATCGAGCACGGCGGCGTGAAGTTGTGCAAGGTGCCGAACTGCCCGAAGATGGACCGCGGCAGAGGGTTCTGCAGCAAGCACGGCAGCTTGCTCGGATTAGGCGGCTTGACGTGCACCGCGCCGGAGTGCACGAGGCGGGCGGTGAGCAAAGGTCTGTGCTGCCAGCACGGGGGGATGAAGCGGTGCGCGGTGAAGAAGTGCCAGAAGATGGAGCGCGTGCAGGGGTACTGCAACGATCACGCCCCCACACGCCAAGCTCTGGCCGGCGTCGGCGGCGGCGGCGCGGCGTCGGCGTCGGCGGTCGCGGCGGGCGGGGACTGAGGCGGCGGCGATCGAAATAATTAGCAGCATCCACGCGGGGCGAACGCGCGCGTCCACGCGCGAACGAACGAACGAACGAACGAACGAACGAACGAACGAACGACGTGGCGAGAAGACGAGAACGAACCGCGCGTGTTTTTTTTCAATAGATCCGACGAAGGACGTCTCCGTCGTCGTCGCGGCGCGTCGTCTCTCTTCTCTCGCGTCGCTACGATAACCCGCCGAGACGGTACCGCGGCGCGGTTCCCATCTGCACGAAGTCGATCTTCCACCCCTTCTCCTCCATCGCGTCCGAGAACGCGTCCACGTTCTCATCCGCGTATCGGTACGCCTCCGCCGCCGCGGCGTCTGTCGCCGCCGCCGCCGCCGCCGCCGTCGTCGCCGCCCCCGCGCGCGCCGCCGCCAACGCCGCCTCGATGATATCCCGCGGCGTCGCCGCCGCGTCGAGCATCACCGCGGGCACGCGCCTGCGCGCGTCCCACCCGATCACGAACCGCCGTCGGAGGACGCCGACGCCGCGCGCGTCGTCGTCGTCGTCGTCCTCGTCCTCGTCCTCGTCGTTCATCGCCCTCGCGCCGCCGAGCCGCGGCGCGTTCGCCTCGGACGCCTTCGCGAACCGCAGCAAATCGTCCCAATCCCTCGCCGCGTCCTCCACGCTCGCGCCCAGCGTGGGCGTGCTCGCGGTGACGCGCGCGCGGTACACGCCCTCTCTCTCGCCCGCGTCCTCCACGCTCAACACAGCCTCTCTCCCTCCTCTGACGTACTCCTCCGCCGCGCGCGTGAGACGATGACGATTTAACGCGTCGAACCGCAGCACGTCGGCGGCTTTCCAGCAGCAAAACAAGTGCGACGACAGCACCGCGCCGTACGCTCCGAACACGCCGCCGTACCTCGTCAGCTCGCTCATCGCGGTCTCGCCGCCCTCGGCCGCCATCGCGGCGGCGTCCGCGCCGAACGCGCCGGAGACGCCGCGGAAGATGGCGATCCCGACTGGGAGCGCGACGAGCGCCAGCCACCGTCCTTGCACCTCCAGAGCCGTTCCATACAAAGCGATGTCGGGGTGGAGTTCATAGGCGTCAGTTGGAGTTGAAAGGCGTCGAGGTCGGTGATTGAAAGCGAGGGACCCTGGGCGCAGAGAATCGCCGGGAAAAGTCCTTAAGGATCGGCGTTCACCACGCCGACGCGGTCGTATGGGGACCGGTGTATAGAACGCGCCTCCATCTTCGCGCGCACGTCGCCAAAGTTTTGGTTCCGTCCGAGGTGCTGCATGAACGTGCCGTTGATCAGGCTGCCGCGGCCGGTCAGCGCGCCCGCGCGCACGAACGTCGCGCTCGCGGCGAGCGGCAGGAAGAGCGCCGGGTACGCCGGCGTCACGAGCTCGAGCACCCTCGCGACGTCCTCGAGAGAGTTCGTCACCGCCCACCACCGCTTCGGATCTTCGTCGTACTTCTGCCCGCCGAACACGCCCGCGAGGAGCGTCGCGAACGACCCGACGCCGTCCTTCAGGACCCACTTCGTGGCGGCCGCGAGCGGGAGCGCGCCGGGGGTGGACCCCATCCCGAGCGCGACGAGGAGAGACTGCGACGTGAGCACCTCGAGGACGTTGCGAAACATGAGCGACGCGAGGTGCCAGCGGATGAACGTCGCGTAGTCGCTCGAGACGGTGTCCGGGTACCCCGCGGGGAGGAACACCGCGCGCAGACGCGGGGACTTACGCGGGTCCCACGCGGAGGAGGAGGAGGACGTCGACGTCGACGCGGCGGACGCGTCGTCGCACTCCGCGCGCTGCGGCGGAAGGCGCTCGAATCGCCCATCCTTCCCGACCGCCCATCGCCTCCGCTGCTGCCCGCCCGAGCTCACCTCCACGAGCGGCGCGCGCGGTCGCGTCGTCGTCTCCGTCTCCGTCGTCTCCGCGGTCGCGGCCGCGGCGACGACGGAGGCGCGGCGGCGACGCGGCGCGCGACCGCGGAGGACGACCGACGACGCGTCGTCGTCGTCGTAAATCTTTCGGTGCCGACGCGGTCGCGTCCGAAAGACGTCGACGCGCGCGCGGCGCCTTCCGCGGAGACCCGCGCGCGATGCGCCATCGCGCGGCGGCGACGGCGCGGAGACGCGCGTCGCGACCACCGCGAGCATCGTCGCCGTCGCGAACGCGACGGTGCGAGGCCGCGCGACGTCGCGCGCGCGCGCGAGATCTTCGACGACGCTCTGACGTCATCACTCTCTCGGGGAGTCCGAAACAGAAGAATCAAGTCGGGCTCTCCCGTCGCCGTCCACCTCTGGCGCGCGCCTTGCGTTGTCGTTCAACTCGAGTCGCATGAAATATTAAGCATCGATCACGAAGCTAGACACGCGACCAAAAACACCCTCCGATCACCCTCTCCCCCACCCACCGAGTCGCCCGCGCGCGCGTCGCGGCGTCTCACCACCCCCCGCGTCCTTCGTCGTCCATGGTCGCGTCCGCGCTGATCTCCTCCTCAGAGTCCGTCTCTTTCGCGTCGAACTCGTCGACGGTGCCTCCGTCGTGGTTCCAGTGACACCAGCTCCCGTCCAGAAAGTGCTTCATCCGGCCTTCTTTCGCTTCCAAGTACCCCTGGTTAAACAAATTCGGCTTCACGATGCACGGTATCCGCCCCTTGATGTGCACGCCCAGCTTCTCCAACGTCGCCACCTTTCGCGGGTTATTACGTCGGGGTGGAGTTGAAAGGCGTCAGTTGGAGTTGAAAGGCGCCGAGGGCGGGGATTGAAAGCGAGGGGTGGGCGGAGAGAAACGACGGCAAAAGTCCTTAAGGATCGGCGTTCACCACGCGAACGGGGTCGTATGGGAACCAGTGTAAGAACGCACCTTTCGCGGGTTATTCGTCATGAGGCGAATCGATCGCACGTCGAGGTCGTCGAGAATGTTCGCCACCGCGGTGTACTCCCTCACGTCGTCCGGCAGCCCCAACGCCCTGTTCGCGTCCACGGTGTCCAACCCCTTCGTGTCCTGCAGCGCGTACGCGGCGATCTTGTTCGCGAGCCCGATCCCGCGCCCCTCCTGCTGCAGGTAGATGACCATCCCGTCGTTCTCTTGGATGTACTCCATCGCCAGCTGCAGCTGCTGCTTGCAGTCGCACTTCAGCGAGCCGAGGACCTCGGACGTGAAGCACGCGTCGTGCACGCGGACTGGGACGTCCGCGCGCCCCTCGATGTCGCCGAACACGATCGCGACCGGCTCCGTGGGCTCCGCGCCGTCCACGGAGTGGCGGTACCCGCGGAGGCGGTAGTACCCACTCTCGGTCGGGAGCTTCGTCTCCGCGATGAACGTCGTCTCCCCGCACGACGACTCGTCGAAGGACTCCGCGTTCACGCTGGGGGCGCGGTAGTTCGGGTCGTCCGCGCTCACGACCGCGCGCGGCGGCGGCGGCGCGGCGCGCGACGGCGTCGTCGTCGTCGACGGTCCGCGATACCGACGCGGAGCCGCCGACACGACACGATGGCGATGCTGCGGCGCCGACGCCGCGGCGCGCGCCACCGCGTGCATCTCGCGCGGCGCGTGGACGCGGTCCGGTCGCGCGGCTCGCGGCCTCGTTCGGTAACGCGGCGCGTGTCTCCCTCGCGGCGGGCGACGCTCGACTGCGTGCGGCCGCGCGCGTTGGTGCGCCGCGCGAGGCGCGCGTCGCGCGTATTCTATCTACATGGAGCGCGTGTCCACTGCGTCCGCGCGGCCGTTCTCGCGCGTTGATTGGTCGAAAACGCCCTTTAACGCTCATGTATATGGACCCAAAATCCGAGATTTCTGGCACGCTCACCGACCTTTCCCGTCAACCGACGGCCTATCAAACGAAACAAACGAAGCCTTTGTAGCACAGTGGCAGTGCGTTGGTCTTGTAAACCAAAGGTCCCGTGTTCAATCCACGGCGGAGGCACTTTTTACGTTTTTGCGCTTCTCGCGCGCGCGCGATCGTCCGCGCGATGTCGCGAAGAGAGTTCTGTGGACGGCGCGCGCGGACGAGCGCGCGTCGCGTCGGCGGCGGTCGAGTCGCGGAGGTGGACGCGGCGGGACGCGTTTGAAAAAAAAACGAAAAAAAAACGACGGCGGCGGCGGGCCGCCGCGAGGACGCGTTCGCATCGCTCACAAGAGTCTAGTGATCGAGGGGGAGTGCGCTCAGTCGGCGTCGGCGTCGGCGGCGGAGGTCACCTACACCCCCGCGAGCTCGCGCTCGAGTTCGTCCACGCGGGCTTGAGCGAGGGGGCAGAGTTCGCCGAGCTCCGCCACGCGGCGAAACCACTTCAGCGCCTCCTCTACGTTTCGCTTCTGCACGTAGAGCTTCAAGTCCACGAAGCTGCCTTGGCAGATGTACGCGAGTTCAATCGCGGCAGTTCTACATCCCATCTCCGTCGCCGCCTTGACGAGCAGCTCGATCGCCTTCGAGGGGTCGCGCTCCACGCCGTGCCCGTTCACGTAGCACCGCGCGAGCCAGTAGGTTAAGGTCGCATGAAAGTGCGAAGGGGCTCTTTCCAACGCGGAGGCTCTCTCGAGCCACTTGAACGCGTCGTAGTGCGTCACGCCTGGGTAGCCCTGGTAGGAACATATCGCGATCCTCCACATGGCGTCTGCGTCGCCGCGATCGGACGCTTTAAGGTACCAATAGAGCTCCTTCCAGTACTCTCCCGCGTCGGAAAACCCGCGACCGAGCTCGTACAACTCGCCGGGCGTTCCAGGCAGCGACGCGTCGAGCTTCTCCGCGTTCCTCCACACCCTGCCCGTCGCGGCGAGCGCGACGCGGTCGCGCGGGTCCGCGACGTGCGAGAAGATCTCAAACGCGAGGTGCTCGGTGATTTCGTCGAAAGGCATGCTCGGATCTGGGCGAGGGGCGCGGCGGCGCGGGCGCGAGAAAGTGCGAAGAGGACGTCGCTTCTTCCAGACAGAAGTTTTCACTCACAGCAACAAGCAGACTGGCAGACAGGATCTGGCTCTACGTTGTAGTGCAAGCTGGCAAGCGCGGCGTCCGAACGCGCGAACGCGCGCGCATTTTCGCCCGTCGCTCTCGCGCGCGTCGCGGCACAAGGCGTCGAGCGATACGCGCGCGTATCCGCTCGCGATGCCGACGGTCGCGAGCGCCGCGCTCTATGCGGTGCTGACGCTCGCGGTGTACGCGGCGTCGTGCGGTGCGTCCTCGCGCGCGATCTCGGCAGCGTCGCGCTCGCGCGCGTCCGATGCGCGGAGGAACGCCGACTAACAACTGCTTAAAATCTGATTCGCTCTGACCTCCCCGTCCTCCCCCTCCCCTCGTCATCACGCAGACGCCGTCCCGGGCGGGACGACGGAGTACGGCACGGTGCAGATCGCGAACGAGGAGTGGAGCCCAGGCGCGTTCTCCTCCTACGTCCATCCCCCGTCGTCGCGCCGTCGAGAATCGCGTCGCGGCCGTCGGCGTACAGCTTCGCGAACCCGAACCGAACCCTCCGCGCGCGTCGTCGTCGCCGCCGCTGACGCCCCCCGTCCTTCGTTCCCACAGAGCAAACCTTCGGGAACTCGAAGGCGAACTTGCAGATTGGCGTGCAGGCCAACGCGACGAACACGTTCCAGGACGTGGGCTTCGGTGCGTCGTCGCGTCCCGCCGCGCGATCGCCCCGCCCGCGGGTCGACGTTCCGATCGTCGAGCGCGAAGCGACGAGTCCGAAAACGATCCCCTCCCTCCTCCCTCCGTCCGTCCGTTCCCCTGCTCTCTCGCCTTCGCGCTCGACGCGCCGCGCGCGTCGCTGAACGCTTCCCCCCTCTCCAACGCCATCCTCTCCGCCGCGCGCGCGCAGGGTACGTCGGGAACGCGCTGCAGCACAAACCCCCCGCGGTGATCGCGTACGAGCAGACGAGCGCGGCGGGGGAGACGAAGGGCGATCTCATCCTCGGCGCGCGCGCGTCCACGAGCGGCGCGACGGCGGCGACGAAACTCCTCAAGATTCGCTCCGACGGCGTTGTGGAGGTGCTCGCGGGCGACCTCATCGTGCGAGGCGAGTCGACGTTCGATAAGGACTTTGATCTCACGAAGAACGTCGCCGCGGTGAAACACAGCGGGACCACGGGGCTCGAGATCTCGAGCGTCAGCGGATACGTGACGATCGCGTCGACGAGTTCGTACGTGGACGTCGAGAGCGTTCGATTCACCGCGAACGCGATCGGGTTGAGCGGCACGCCGAATATCATATCGCTCGCGAGCGCGGGCGTGACCGTGACCGGTTCGCTCGCGGTGAGCGGGGCGCTGACGATGACGGATCTCACGCTGTCAGGGGACTTGGTGATGTCGAAAACGGCGGCGACGTTTACGCACACCGCCGCGGCGGGCGCGACGAGCGGGTTGACGATCTCGAGCGACAACGGGTGCGTGGTCATCACGGGTGGGACCAGCACGGCTTCGTACGTGGACGTGGAGGACGTGCGGTTCACGAGCAAAGACATCGGCATCTCCGGGACCGCGACGCTGATATCGCTCGCGTCAACGGGCGTGAGCGTGACCGGGACGCTGCAATCGTCCGGGAAGGCGACGCTTGCTGATGACTTAGCGGTGACTGGTGCGAAATCCAACCTTACTGCTTTGGGGCTTTCCGGGGACTTGTTCATGTCTGACACGGTCGCTGAGCTCACGCACACCGCTGCGGCGGGTGCGACGAGCGGGCTGACGATCTCGAGCGACAACGGGTTCGTGGAGGTGGAGAGCGTGCGGATCACGGGCGGCGCGTCGAAATCTGACATCGGGTTCGGTTCGACGGCTATCATCGCGCTGTCTGCGACGGGCGTGGGCGTGACCGGGACGGTGTCGTCGACGGGTGACTTGACTGTTGGGTCGTCGAAGTTCGTAGTGACCGCGACCAGTGGAGACTTGGCTCAAACGGGGGACACGTCATTGTCGAAGACCGCAGCCGCAATCACGCATACCGCCGCGGCGGGCGCGACGAGCGGGCTGACGATCTCGAGCGACAACGGGTTCGTGGAGGTGGAGAGCGTGAGGATCACGGGCGGCGCGTCGAAATCCGACATCGGGTTCGGTGCGACGGCTATCATCGCGCTGTCCGCGACGGGCGTGGGCGTGACCGGGACGGTGTCGTCGACGGGTGACTTGACTGTTGGGTCGTCGAAGTTCGTAGTGACCGCGACCAGTGGCGACTTGGCCCAAACGGGGGACACGTCCTTGTCGAAGACCGCTTCTTCGATCACGCACACAGCTGCGGCGGGCGCGACGAGCGGGCTGACGATCTCGAGCGACAACGGTTTTGTGGTCATCACGGGTGGGACCAGCACGGCTTCGTACGTGGACGTGGAGGACGTGCGGTTCACGAGCAAAGACATCGGCATCTCCGGGACCGCGACGCTGATATCGCTCGCGTCAACGGGCGTGAGCGTGACCGGGACGCTGCAATCGTCCGGGAAGGCGACGCTTGCTGATGACTTAGCGGTGACTGGTGCGAAATCCAACCTTACTGCTTTGGGGCTTTCCGGGGACTTGTTCATGTCTGACACGGTCGCTGAGCTCACGCACACCGCCGCGGCGGGTGCGACGAGCGGGCTGACGATTTCGAGCGACAACGGCTTCGTGGAGGTGGAGAGCGTGCGGATCACGGGCGGCGCGTCGAAATCCGACATCGGGTTCGGTTCGACGGCTATCATCGCGCTGTCTGCGACGGGCGTGGGCGTGACCGGGACGGTGTCGTCGACGGGTGACTTGACTGTTGGGTCGTCGAAGTTCGTAGTGACCGCGACCAGTGGAGACTTGGCTCAAACGGGGGACACGTCATTGTCGAAGACCGCAGCCGCAATCACGCATACCGCCGCGGCGGGCGCGACGAGCGGGCTGACGATCTCGAGCGACAATGGGTTCGTGGAGGTGGAGAGCGTGAGGATCACGGGCGGCGCGTCGAAATCCGACATCGGGTTCGGTGCGACGGCTATCATCGCGCTGTCCGCGACGGGCGTGGGCGTGACCGGGACGGTGTCGTCGACGGGTGACTTGACTGTTGGGTCGTCGAAGTTCGTAGTGACCGCGACCAGTGGAGACTTGGCCCAAACGGGGGACACGTCCTTGTCGAAGACCGCTTCTTCGATCACGCACACAGCTGCGGCGGGCGCGACGAGCGGGCTGACGATCTCGAGCGACAACGGTTTTGTGGTCATCACGGGTGGGACCAGCACGGCTTCGTACGTGGACGTGGAGGACGTGCGGTTCACGAGCAAAGACATCGGCATCTCCGGGACCGCGACGCTGATATCGCTCGCGTCAACGGGCGTGAGCGTGACCGGGACGCTGCAATCGTCCGGGAAGGCGACGCTTGCTGATGACTTAGCGGTGACTGGTGCGAAATCCAACCTTACTGCTTTGGGGCTTTCCGGGGACTTGTTCATGTCTGACACGGTCGCTGAGCTCACGCACACCGCCGCGGCGGGCGCGACGAGCGGGCTGACGATTTCGAGCAACAACGGCTTCGTGGAGGTGGAGAGCGTGCGGATCACGGGCGGCGCGTCGAAATCCGACATCGGGTTCGGTTCGACGGCTATCATCGCGCTGTCTGCGACGGGCGTGGGCGTGACCGGGACGGTGTCGTCGACGGGTGACTTGACTGTTGGGTCGTCGAAGTTCGTAGTGACCGCGGCCAGTGGCGACTTGGCTCAAACAGGGGACACGTCATTGTCGAAGACCGCAGCCGCGATCACGCACACAGCTGCGGCGGGCGCGACGAGTGGTTTGACGATCTCGAGCGACAATGGGTTCGTGGAGGTGGAGAGCGTGCGGATCACGGGCGGCGCGTCGAAATCCGACATCGGGTTCGGTGCGACGGCTATCATCGCGCTGTCCGCGACGGGCGTGGGCGTGACCGGGACGGTGTCGTCGACGGGTGACTTGACTGTTGGGTCGTCGAAGTTCGTAGTGACCGCGACCAGTGGCGACTTGGCCCAAACGGGGGACACGTCCTTGTCGAAGACCGCTTCTTCGATCACGCACACAGCTGCGGCGGGCGCGACGAGCGGGCTGACGATCTCGAGCGACAACGGTTTTGTGGTCATCACGGGTGGGACCAGCACGGCTTCGTACGTGGACGTGGAGGACGTGCGGTTCACGAGCAAAGACATCGGCATCTCCGGGACCGCGACGCTGATATCGCTCGCGTCAACGGGCGTGAGCGTGACCGGGACGCTGCAATCGTCCGGGAAGGCGACGCTTGCTGATGACTTAGCGGTGACTGGTGCGAAATCCAACCTTACTGCTTTGGGGCTTTCCGGGGACTTGTTCATGTCTGACACGGTCGCTGAGCTCACGCACATCGCCGCGGCGGGCGCGACGAGCGGGCTGACGATTTCGAGCAACAACGGCTTCGTGGAGGTGGAGAGCGTGCGGATCACGGGCGGCGCGTCGAAATCCGACATCGGGTTCGGTTCGACGGCTATCATCGCGCTGTCTGCGACGGGCGTGGGCGTGACCGGGACGGTGTCGTCGACGGGTGACTTGACTGTTGGGTCGTCGAAGTTCGTAGTGATCGCGACCAGTGGCGACTTGGCTCAAACAGGGGACACGTCATTGTCGAAGACCGCAGCCGCGATCACGCACACAGCTGCGGCGGGCGCGACGAGTTGTTTGACGATCTCGAGCGACAACGGTTTTGTGGTTGTGAAAAGCACGGCGTCATACGTGGACGTGGAGGACGTGCGGTTCACGAGCAAAGACATCGGCATCTCCGGGACCGCAACGCTGATATCGCTCGCGTCAACGGGCGTGAGCGTGACCGGGACGGTGTCGTCGACGGGTAACTTGATCGTGGGCTCGTCGAAGTTCGTAGTGACCGCGACCAGTGGAGACCTGGCTCAAG